TGTCCCAATAAACATGGGAATTCAGTGACGAATTCGATATCGTCTTTTCAAATAATTCTTTGATTTAGTCTAGTGATACCTACTGAGAAAGCTGTAATCTGTAAAAGTTTCGTCTGCTATGTTGACATTTTGTTTGTTTATGTTTTGGCTGTATACGGTTGTACTAAGTAAAACAAGAAAATTGCAGTACAAACAGAGTAAACTTGTCCGTATTCACTAGTTCATCTTGCGGAGACATTATAGACACATCTTTACAGTCTTTTACCCTTTTCATAAAATAAACTCTAGCAGACATAATAATGTTATGACTTTTGAAATTAGGTATTACAATGCTTATTCATAACAAAGACGACATCGAATTCGTCACTGAATTCCCATGTTTTTTGGGACACCCTGTACAATCCTTAGTCAAAGTTTTGCATCAAGCTTAGTTTTCTTCCCATGGAAGTGAATCGAGTGCAGAACATCTTGCGTTTTCTCCTCTTTCCTAGCTGATCCTCTGAAGTCCTAAACAATTTACCAACATAGTTTCTTTATTATTTTTAGCTTTGTTTTAAGTAATATACAACCTGAACAAGTTTTATGGCCCGTTCTGCCATATCATTGGTGCAAACTATGTTTGTACCAATCTGTTCAAACTCCTTGAAGGAGTCATATAGATTGCCCAGCTAGGTTGAGGTCTCTATTATGAAATATCAACTATACACGAATGTGTCGAAAAATTATCGATGATTATTGGTTGTAATATCTGAATGATTTGTTTGGAATCAAATTGATTTTTTTACGATCAGAGTTGAATGTGGCAATTTTCTGAATTTTTATGGACTATACGTTCTTAAACATGAGTCGTTTTTTATCAATTTTCTCCTTATAGACGCAACATATAGAAGTAAGATTAGTAGCGATCAAAAGCACTTATTTTCCGTAAGCCTATACTCCCTTTCATTTTTCGCGAACATTCCCTTTAAATTAATAGTTTTTGCCACTTTTTCCTTCTTCTGAGGTACCGTGCCCCTTTAATACACAAAAAATTGAGAATCCGTTTTTTGAACTCCGGTACATGACTAACGATGTGCACCTTTTGTCCTCCATTCTTGGTATTTTTTCTTGTTGGGTATAAGGGTGGGGTAAAATCCTCCTTTATTAAATCCTGAAATCACCCTTGCCTGGTATTGACAAATTTAAAATACCTCAGATCTTAAAATAATCATATGACCTTTAATTTATATTCAATTCAATATGCTAAATAAAAACTAAATCATTAGTTATATTATAATCATAATATACATTAAAACACCAAACCACAATGCTTATCGTTGAAGTACACTTTGATTTTGGAGTTTTCTGGATGTATAAACTGGGAGTTTTTTGGATGTAAACTTGGAGTTCTTATCGTTGAAGTACACTTTGATTTTGGAGTTTTCTGGATGTATAAACTGGGAGTTTTTTGGATGTAAACTTGGAGTTTTCTGGATGTAAATTTGGAGTTTTCTGGATGTAAACTTGGAGTTTTCTGAATGTAAACTTGGAGTTTTCTAGATGCAAACTTTTAGTTTTCTAGATGTAAACTTGTAGTTTTCTGGATGTAAACTCGGAGTTTTCTGGATGTAAACTTGGAGTTTTCTGGATGTAAACTTGGAGTTTTCTGGATGTAAACTTGGAGTTTTCTGAATGTAAACTTGGAGTTTTCTAGATGCAAATTTTTAGTTTTCTAGATGTAAACTTGGAGTTTTCTGGATGTAAACTCGGAGTTTTCTGGATGTAAACTTGGAGTTTTCTGGATGTAAACTTGGAGTTTTCTGGATGTAAACTTGGAGTTTTTTGGATGATATTTAGGTTTATCAAACTATCTGGTTGATATCTAGATTAAACTAGAAAAGGCTCTCTCTCTGTCTTGTAATTCAAACTTTCAAAGCGGCATGCGCACATAACTTCGTGGGCTTCAACTCTATTCGTAAAAAAGCTGTAGAGGGGAACTTCTATATGTCGAAAATTAACAATATACTACACATTGACATATATTGACATTTAAACATAAAATTATTCGAAATAATAAGATTTTTCATATCAATTTTATCAAAAAATCCAATATTTAAAAAATTATAACCGTCCAAGCTAGGGCAAAACATAAACAATTTTAAATTAAATGTATAGCAAGCTAAGATCTTGGCAAAAAAAGTGGAGTTATTATTGAGTTAAAGTGGATATTGAAGTGGAATTTTGTTATTCTATTTAACACCAAGTTGTCACCCTAACTATGATTAAATAAGTCGAGATTATGACCCCAGATGGCCATTGTCCCGTTGTCCCGGCCCTAAAGACGACAAATTATTTAGCGCTTCGCTAAAATATTCCTTACCTGAAATAAAAGGAATCGAGTTTTTGCCACAAACTCTGATTTTCTAATCCCTGCATCATTTTATTCCAATGTGGTAGACCTTTAATATTTCAAACCAGGAATTCTGTTAGATTAAATAATTAAATAAGTTTGAAATGACGGCCTGGTTTACCCAAAACATAATGCCACCGATCTATTTTCTTATTGTGATACAAATCTATAACATTTGATACGTTTTCGGAAAGCCCTTGGGCTCTACTTCAATAATCTACCCAAAAAAATGGGAAAGGAATTGAGTCTTTGTCACAAACTTAAATTTTCTAATCCTTATATCTTGGCACCTTGATGGTGCAACCCTTTGATATTTCAAACTTAGATGATTTGATCTACCAGCCTTCATAGTTTGAAATATATAAGGTCTACGGCATTGGGTTGCAAAGATATAGGTATTAGAAAATCTGAGTTTGTGGCAAAGACTCAAATCCATTGCAAAATCCAACTTTGTATAGCGAAATCTAGTTAACGATTGTTTACGTCGACCCTAACGAAGAGAGGAAACCGACCTGAAGGGCATCTGTACTTATCATTGAGTAGTTTTAAGAAAATATCAAGAAGTATTAGCTCCCCCACAACTGTTTAACATCATGTAAGACAATATTCAATAAAGTTGCATGTAATTTTTTTCAAAAAGGATCGTTTTTCCAAAAACAACCGTTTTGATTAAGTTTATCGTTTCGTTAACGATCGTTAACAAAATTTTCAATAAAATTTTTTTCAAAAACGATCGTTTTTTTCAAAAGCGATGGTTTTTTAAAAAAACAATCGTTTAAAAAGCGGTTGCAAATCGTTTTTTAAAGTTCAAAACGATTTTAAAAGTTTTTCGTTTTTTACCAACAACGAAACGATCGTTTTTGAAAACGATTGAAAAACGAAACAAAAAACTATCGTTTAATCGATCGTTTTCAAAAACGATTAACAACCCTAATCATACATTTTTGAAAAGCCTTTGACCCAGCGAAGTTTGCAATAAATTGAACAAAATTTTCAAAACTTAAATGTGTATAAGAGAAGAACTGAAATTGTGCACATGTTCTTGCAAAAATTGTGCAATCTGCTTGCTTTTGTTCCAAGCTTTCCAAAGAGCTATACATTGATTAAATGATTGGAAGCAGGTCCAAATATAGATTTAGTCTGGTAAAGGTAAATTAAGGCATTTAGCTAGAGGCAGTTAGCCTGAGGACTCAGACAGCAGGTAAAGCCAGCTTCGAGCCTTAAATGTGTTTGTTAGAAAACCATAAAATTTGAGCTTCCTAGCTCAAATACTTCTTGACGATTAGGGGGGGGGGCATATTGACCCCCCCTACCCCTGAGTCTGAATAGATTTAAAAGCAACAGGCCTCGTTTTTAAATTTGAGGTCCCCCCCTCCTCCCTCCGCAATTTTTGCACAAGCCCTAAGGCTGGAAATATCTGGCTAAATTTATGCAGTTATTGAATCCGTTGTATCTTAGCACATGTTATTGCCTTAAAACATTTAAAACTTGAAATTCAACTTGAAAAATATAACTTAAAGATCCTGCACTTAGCCTCAGTCCTTCATAGCAAGTAAGTATTTATTTAATTATCCAATGTCGTAGGCCTTATTTCAAGCATGAATTCTGTTAGGTTAGATAATCTAAGTTTGAAATACCAAAGCTTTACACTTTCGGGTTGAAAATATATGAGGATTTAAAACATTTAAGTTTGTGACAAAGACACAATTCTTTTCGTCTTAAATAATTTAAAATATATCTATCTGAAATATCAATAACTTTGTAATTGAAATAAATTTTTTTATGAAAATTAGGAACACAATTAGAAGCTCAATTATTCTAAAAAAGATAATTTGAAATATCAACCAAATGCAGTGTATTTCAAAAAATTATTGTTCTAGACAAAATACACAATTGACTTTAATGAAAATATTTTGAAGTGCAAAGTCATATATAGTCGATTGATATAAAAAAAATAATTTTTACCATTTCATTATTTTATATTTATCAAATTAGTTAAAATTTTAAAATCAAATGGTTTTATTACCAGGATGTTGAAATTTGTTGTCATGTTGTCTGTAACGGCTTTCTCTCCTGCCCTGGCAGGTACTTAGGCATGCACACGCACATGGTTTTATGCCGCGCATGTACATAGTTTAATGCCGCGCATGCACATAGTTGTATGCCACGCATGAAGTGCACATTGGTTCATGCCATGCACTTGGTTTAAAGAAATACTGAGTGTTCATGAGATATGCCACTTTGCATTGCAATACGCTATTTATCTGGCTAAATAAAGATTTAAGCCAATTAGGTGCATGTGCTTTATTTTAAGAATCATGGGTTCCACATTCATCCCAGTCTAAAAGTTTTATGATTTGTGCCGCGGTACAACACATACTGTAGTGTATATCCATTAAGTTGTACTGTAAGGCTGTCCAGGGTAGAGTCGACCCAGCACGTTTTATGCAACAAATGTATATCCTAGCAAGATCTGCAAAGTGTTAATATGTTTTGGAAACCATTCTTAGTTGTAAACATGTTATGACCATTTTTTTAACAGTTGCTAATAAGAAATCCTTTTTGGTAATTGGAAAATTTATCATTATCCAGCCCAAATTGTTCTATATGAACTGGGATTTTCAGATGACAATCACAATTCTTATTGACAATGTTTTAACAGCTAAATGCTTTCTTTTTAATTACATTAATGCTAGCAATTTCTGTACTTGTTGCTAGACTTTATGTTGTTCCCAAATCACTAAACCCCCCAAACATGCATTTTTCCAAAACCCATTTTTCCCATATTAGTATTTTCCAAAGCAAACTTTTTAATCCAACTTTATAGCTAACCAAGTATTTCAGGACCCTCCATGCCTTTATCAGTAAATGTACCATGTTTGAGTGGGAGGCCTAGGGAGGGAACAACTGTACCATCTTGTACTAAGGATTCAGGCACTGTTCATTTATCTAAAAAGTACTGAAGCACTAGAAATATGTGCACCCATTTTGTGTATTATTCTGGTATATACTGTAAAAATGTCTCATTGGTACCGGTTCAAATGAATCCTAAAATTTTTCTCCATGATATTGCACTCTCGGTTTGATTACTTTACATAGCCGGTCTCTTCCGTTTTCTTATTAAAAGCATAAACAGTCCTATTGGTTCTAATTATAGCTGGATCAGCGCATTGCTGACCGCAAAAAACTTGAATGAAAGGCCAATGTATTTGTGCTTGAAATTGGAAAAAAGTTCTAAATCAATTGGATTGTTGCTCAGATATAGGTTCAAAACAATAATAGAATTTCTACTAATAGAACGTTGCTAAACCCCTTTAAACTATCCTTGCAACATGTTTGCTGATCTATTCACTATTAATTTATGGATTATATATATGACTGTTGTGTAGAATGCATGAATATTTCATTGTAATTACATGACCGCTTTGTTGCTTTTTTATTGCTTGTTAGCCTATAAATCATCATCATCACCATAATTTTCATCCTGATGATTGTAATCATTATCATTATCATCATTATTATTGTCATTATTCTCATCATTGTCCTCATTCTTACCATTGTCCTCATTCTAATCATTGTCCTCTTTATCATAACCATCATTATCATCATCATCACCATGAAATGCTAGCGTTGAGATCTGTTTAGGAATCTTCAGTACAAGCAAATGTACTCCTGTACCACAAACAGCCTGTGCTCTGGTTTATGATGACAAGGACTGCAAGGGGTGGAAGTTAGAGGTTCCCCAGGTATATAGTTAGAGGCTCCCCAGGTATATAGTTGGAGGTTCCCCAGGTATATAGCTAGAGGTCCCCTAGGTATACAGTTAGAGGTTCCCCAGGTATATAGTTAGAGGTTCACCAGGTATACAGTTAGAGATCCCCAGGTATATAAGAAGAGGTTCCCCAGGTATACAGTTAGAGATCCCCAGGTATATAGTTAGAGGTTCCCAAGGTATAAAATTAGAGGTTCCCCAGGTATAAAGCTAGAGATCACTAGATATATAGTTAGAGGTCCCCCAGGTATACAGTTAGAGGTTCCCCAGGTATAAAGTTAGAGGTCCCCCAGGTATATACTTAGAGGTCCCCCAGGTATATATAGTTAGAGGTTCCCCAGGTATATAGTTAGAGGTCCCCCAGGTATATAGTTAGAGGTCCCCCAGGTATATGGCTAGAGATCCCCCAGGTATATGGCTAGAGGTCCCCCAGGTATATAGTTAGAGGTCCCCCAGGTATATAGTTAGAGGTCCCCCAGGTATAAAGCTAGAGGTCCCCCAGGTATATAGTTAGAGGTCCCCCAGGTATATAGTTAGAGGTCCCCCAGGTATATAGTTAGAGGTCCCCCAGGTATATAGTTAGAGGTCCCCCAGGTATATAGTTAAAGGTCCCCCAGGTATATAGTTAAAGGTCCCCCAGGTATATAGTTAGAGATCCACAGGTATATAGTTAGAGGTTCCCAAGGTATATAGTTAGAGGTCCCCCAGGTATATAGTTAGAGGTCCCCCAGGTATAAAGCTAGAGATCCCCCAGGTATAAAGCTAGAGATCCCCCGGGTATATGGCTAGAGTTCCCCCAGGTATATAGTTAGAGGTCCCCCAGGTATATAGTTAGAGGTCCTCCAGGTATATAGTTAGAGGTCCCCCAGGTATATAGTTAAAGGTCCCCCAGGTATATAGTTAAAGGTCCCCCAGGTATATAGTTAGAGATCCACAAATTTATGCTGGGTGGAAACTCTAAAGCTCTTAAGACTTGAATACAAAATGACAAAAACTTATGTGACAATGTTTTCTGTTTAGGGTGAACTTCAGTTCCACTGGTGGTCTCCTGTTTGGTACTGGTACAGGTACAGCTTAAAACATCTGGGTATATATTTAAAACAATTATCCTTCTCCCGCTGGCTTAGAGAGCCAGGGATTTTATTGTGGAAGATGTCAGGGAAATGAGGATTCTGAAAACTCACAAGTTTGTTATTTTTTTAATTACTTTTCCCACACAAATTAATTTTTTTCTCTGAACTTTTTCGCCCCAATTCCCTAAGTAAAAAGTCTTTTTTATAGCTGATGAACTAAGTGATTTGGAAGAGAATTGTACCTGATAATTTTCAAGAAAATAAACACCCCTGATCTATTTTTGTTTTACATATTTAGAAACGACATTGAATCTGTGTCTGTAAGAGCTGGTTGTACACTGACAGGGTTTGATGATTCCAGCTTTAACGGACAAAGTGCAACTATTAGAGCAGGAACAAAGGACAGGTAGATGTGCAGTGTATTTAGGGTTGTTTCCAACTCAAGCGGATTTTACTTGTGTTCAATTGCCAGCCCTGTAATTTCCTTGCAATTCCCTACTATTCCTTGCAATTCCTCACTATTCTTTGCAATACCAAAACAGCTTCTTGCAATTCCGGGCAACAGAATTACGATTGGAAACCCTATTTGTAATGCCTTTAACTTAATTAATTCAATTCTAGCTAAGAATTTTTCAAGGGGGGGCCAAATGTTTTTGACCTGAAAACTCAAAAAGGGTCAATATTAATGATTATAGACTGAAAACTAGATTTTTAACTTATGACACATTATGGTTTTATGAGATATTATGCCTGTTTTGCATTTTTGTTTTCTTTCCCATAATTAAGTGCTATTAAGCAGCTTTTTGCATCAAAACAAAAAATACTGGAAGTATGATCATTCAACTCTGATCAGAATAGATATAATATACAGAGATTTGAGTTAAATGTAAATGTATTGCTGACATTTTGTGTATCAAATTCAAATATAGCAATAATTTATTTTTACTTCATGAAAGTGACCTTAAAAAGGATGTAAACGCCTGTAAAAGAACAAGAAAAGCTCAAGTTTGAAAATCTTCAGTTTATCCAAAACTAAAATTCAGATTTGAAAAAACTCCTCTACAACTTGAGGATGAGTACAAACTTTTCAGTTTTTTCTTTTAGTCTCAGATATTGTGCATGTGCCTGTGCCACCATTCAAGGGGGAAAGGTGGGGGCAGGTGCCCCTCTGCTCCCCCTGTCTATGGGCCTATACATATTTAATTCTAACTGGTTTCTTGAATGACTCCAGATAAGACACTTTATAGATAAGAGACAGCAGCAACAAATTAGAATTTGAAATTAACATGAAAATATTTAAAAGGCATCTTTCGGAATCAAAACTGTCAAAATAATGTATGAGTAATTGTCATAAAGAACTACATTTGAATGGTATGAGGTAGTTCTCACATCGCAACTTCCAAGGCCACATCTTCTCAGAGGCAATTTTCCCAACAGCGAATTCCCCAATTGCTATTTCCCAAACAACAACTTCCCCAAGCAATTATTTTTCTGGTTTAATCAAAAAAATATTTTCAAATGAAAATCAATTTTACAAGAAAGTACAAAAGTACACAATGTTCATCAGAAATGTGCAGTATGCAGGGTCCACTAAAACGTAAGAAAATTGCAAAAAAAATTTAAAAAACTTGTTTTTTTTCTGAATACTTTTTCAAATGCTACCTAAATTTTACTGTTTAGATTTGTAAACCTGGATGATGAGGATGAATTTGAAAATATGGACGAAGAATTTGAATCCCTCCAATGTAGTTGTAACTAATTTGTAAACAAACACAACCTAAATATATTTTTATCAAATTCAGTATAGGTTTTTAATCATCAGTTCCAAAGAGTGGAATTGTATAAATTTAGAACATGAAAATATAATTCCAAACGCTGCAATCAAAACTTGCATTATTCCCAACACCTAAAGGATGAGGTCCACAAACGTCGTATTGATAATTGACGATGTCCTAAGGACGTCATTTAGACGTCCTTAGGTTGGCAGGGTAAAATGTACATTTCTTGTAAACATACATACACTTACACCTTAAAGAAAAATAATAACCTTTTCTTAGAACAATAGTACTTAATTGTTACACCAGCATCGACAGTCTTAAAAGAACACCTTAGAACATTTCATAAAAGAGAACTAGACAAAACAGAATAAAATGTATCAAATTTGGTTGCTTCTCTCAATATTGAGAGATGGACAGCTGAAGAAGAAAAGGAGTTCTTACATCTTTTTAAGTATTAGGTGTCCTAGGGGTGAACTTTAAACTCTTTCAGTTCAACAATATTCAAGCAGACCCGCGGAACTGAACTGCATGAAGGATTGTCTGAATACGAGTATACATAACTAAAAGGGGTAGAATGATTGAAACACAATCGTTTCGTTTTCAGAAAAAAAAAACTATCGTATTTAAAACCGACCCACTCGTTTTGAACTTTTAAAAAACGAATAACGACCGTTTTTTATACAATTGTTTTTTAAAAAAGATCGCTTTTGAAAAAACGATTATGTTAACAATCTTTAACTAAGGGTCGTCGTTAACAAAGGGTTGTCGTTAACGATCGTTAACGAAATGACGAACTTTATAAAAATTTTCCTAAAAACTACTCAATGATAAGTACAGATGCCCTTCAGTCGGTTTTCTCTCTTTGATAACGAAGGTTCGTTGTTAACGATCGTTAAAGAATGGTTTTCGTTAACAATTGTTAACGAAACGACGAGTTTTATAAAAACGATCATTTTTAAAAAACGAGCTTTTTCATAACCAAACGATCGTTTTTAAAAAAAGAAAAAGTTAACATCCCTAGTTTTATATCATATTAGGAATATTACCTAGGAATAAATCTATGAATCAAATCAAATCAAATAGGAAACAGAAAATAAGAAAAAATATAATCTGTGTCAGATATAATAAAAATATTATCTATAAAATTAAACATACTTTTTTACTGCAAACTAAGAAAATTCCTGTGGTTCTACCAAGTTCCCAAATCAAAATTAGAGGCAAATCAGACATATAAATATAAATAAAACCAACACAAACATAATTTGACTGAAGGGCTCGACGTTAATCATTGAATAAAAAAATATCCTATGTCACCCCCGGGTCACATAAATTTCACCAGAAGGAAGGGTATCATTTGGCGTACAGTCCCGTTTTGCCTCATATAGCCTGTATTTGAACCATACTGCTAGTGCCCCCTGGCAGTGGCTAGTTAAAATTCGGTCAGGTCGCGGTACATGAAATAAACTTGAATATACCGTGGGGTACCCATGGGCCATGGTTTCCATCAAAAAGTTTTAGCCAATTTGGCCAGCTATAGAAACATACAAATGAGCGAAAAGCTTTTTATAGATATGTACAGTGGTAGGCGATTATATCAATACGCAACGCAGACGACTTCTGTATTTAAGTTTTGATTGTTAATAAGCTTTTTTCCAATTACAAGTTTACAAGTGTATATTTATAGCTGTTTAACAAATTGATATAAATAAGAATTGAATTCATTAATTAATATAATCGCCTACCTGTAATAAATAATATGGTTCGATTAACTTAGACTTTTCAATGCCCTATTTTCTACCTCAAAATATCCTACAGTTATTTTCGGATGTTTGAATTTGACAGTTACGAGGTTTTACATTTTACATAATTTTCATTGTTACACTTGTATCTATATATCTATCAAAATATCTATCTATCCACCTGTGTAAACCAGGCGAATGGTTCTATCTATCTATCAGTCTAAGGCAGGTAGGGCAGGTATTTAGCTGGTTTGGGCGGTATAATCAGTAAACAGTGTAAGCTCTATTACACTGAAACAATGACCAGAATTAAATTATTATTATTCTTCTCCTTATGTAAGTACTAATATATATCAATTTAATAATAATATTTATCTCAATTTGATAAATTATATTGCATTGTCAAGATTTGATACGTGGTTAAAATGGTATGTAACATTTAAAATCTACAAGAATATCTTGTAATTATCAAAAACGATAAATATTCTTTTATAAAACTGATCTTAAAAAAACGCTTAATCATTAGTTTTACCAATCAATCAATCAGCCGTATTGACATTGGAATATATGAAACATGACAGAAAGAGGATCAAAGAAAAGCAAAATATAGTCGTTAGTCTATCCCCTATTCTGAAAAAGATATATTTTTTTAGGCAGGGTTATCACTAAAACTTTGTGCCCGTATGCATCAGAATCCACTTACAATATTTCCTAGATTCTTTGAAATCGTCTTTTTTATGTTTATTGGGATATCATTATTTATGTACAATATGTACTCTAAGATTTGTTTGTATCCTGTACAATATGTACTCTAAGATTTGTTTGTATTCTGTACAATATGTACTCTAAGGTTTGTTTGTATCCTGTAAAATATGTACTCTAAGGTTTGTTTGTATCCTGTACAATATGTACTCTAAGATTTTTTTGTATCCTGTACAATATGTACTCTAAGGTTTGTTTGTATCCTGTAAAATATGTACTCTAAGGTTTGTTTGTATCCTGTACAATATGTACTCTAAGGTTTGTTTGTTTCCTGTACAATATGTAAAGGTTTGTTTGTATCCTGTACAATATGTACTCTAAGGTTTGTTTGTATCCTGTACAATATTTACTCTAAGATTTGTTTGTACCCTGTAAAATATGTACTATAAGGTTTGTTTGTGTCCTTTACAATATGTACTCTAAGATTTGATTGTATCCTACACAATATGTACTCTAAGGTTAATCTTCTGCAATATATATACTCTAAGGTTTGTCTCCTAAACTATATATACTCTAAGGTTTGTCTCCTGTACTATGCCAGCTGCCCTCTAATTCGTACACCTCGTGGTATGACAAGGACCAGTACAACTGTACAATTGTACGAATTATCCAGGGGGAATGGTTCAGCAGGTATTTCATTAATGACATTGATAGCATAACAATTTTTTAACCTCATTTTGACCTTTTTTTTTAACTTTTCATCATTATTATTGACCTTCATTAACTTTATTAATACGTTTTACCTTTTTTAACGTTAATATGAATTGACCTGTGATGACCTCTATTAACCTCCAATGACCTATTTTTACCTTTGTTGTACTATGTTGATCTTCTTTAACCTCTTATTGATTTTTCTCGACCTCTTCAGTTAATGTTGATTAGAACTGATATCTTTGTACCTCTGTATTATTTTTATTTATTATTATTTCTCTGGTTTTTATCTAATGACCGCCATTAACCTTTTTGTCTTGGTTTGACCTCTGTTATCCTTTAAGGCTTATATTGACCTCTGTTGCACTATATTGACCTCTTTTGACCTATGTTAACCTCTGTTGTCCACTTTAACCTCTAATGGCCGTTGGAGGCCTGTTTTAACCTTGTGTCACCCTGATCAACCTCGAATGACCTCTGTTAAATGTTCTGCAACTATAAGGGAGGAGAACGAGGATGTGATTACACATATAGATGCTCGTCAAATGAGTAATCGAGGAATTTGTAAAGAATATGAGAATGATTTCGGAGCTGAATACAAGGTTGGTTTTCTTAAACAAATATTTAAAAAAATCTAAACCTGACCCTACCTTCCTTCTGCAATACCAGTACCTACCTACCTACCAACCTACCTACCTACCTTACCTACCCACCTACCTACCTATCTACCCACTTACATACTTACCTACCTACCTACCTACCTACCTACCTACCTTACCTACCCACCTACCTACCTATCTACCCACTTAAAAACCTAAATATCTACCCACCTACAAACTTACCTACCTACCTACCTGCCTGCCTACCAACCTACCTACCTACCTACCTACTTAACTACTTACCTACCTACCTACTTATTTACCTACCTACCTATCTACCTACCTACCTATCTACCTACCACCCTAACTACCTACCTATCTACCTTCTTTCTGCAATACCAGTACCCACCTATCTACCTACCTATCTACCCACTAACCTACCTACCTACCTACCTACCTACCTGCCCACTTACCTACCTACCTATCTACCCACTTACCTACCTACCTGCCGACCTTCCTAACTACCTACCTATCTACCTTCTTTCTGCAATACCAGTACCCACCTATCTACCTACCTATCTACCCCCTAACCTATCTACCTATCTACCTACCTACCTACCTACCTACCTGTGTACCAACCTACCTACCTACCTAACTATCTGTTTAGTTTCTGTTCAGCCAGGAGCCCACCAATCTGCTCTCTTGCCATTATTGTGTTCATATCTCAGTACGTACAGTCAATATTCTTGAGAAAAGATAATTAAAAAAAGAATTAGAAATAATAAGAAATTTTTTAAAAGTTTTAACTAAAAATTCCATATTTTAGAACTTCTTTTCTTTACACTAGGTTTAGTTGTCTCTTTGATATTTTGAGATAACAATTATAGATTATCTCTTTTAAAAATTGATTTATGGGTTGATCAATTGATTGATTTTGAATTCATAAGGATTTCCAAGAATGAAAAGATCATTGATTGATTGATCTTCAATCGATCTTAATAATCTATGACAAAAAGAGCCGAAAAAAGATTACTTCAAAAGAAAACTGAAAGGCCAAATAAGAAAAAAAAATAATCTATGAAAAAATTTTTAAAAAAATTAAAACGTCAAAAAATAAAAAAAAGAAAAATGTCAAGGAAGAGAAAAAATAAAAACTCTACCAAAAGAAAAAAATAAATGTCCCTTATTTTTAATATTTTTAATTTTTATTTTTAATCTTGATTCACTGGATATTCGAAATTATTGAATATAATATACTCTGTATATTAATGTGATATATGCAACCATATGAATATCATGAAAACAATCGGAAATTTTCTTATATACTCCGCTAGGAGTCCTGAAAATAATCCTAACATAAACATAAACATAAACATGAAGCAGATCATTGATTGATTAATAAATTGATTGATCTTCAATCGATCTTAATAATCTATGATCAGCAGATCATTGATTGATTAATAAATTAATTAATCTTTAATTGATCCTGATACTCTATGATCAGCAGATCACTCATTGATTAATGAATCAAATTGATCTTTAATTGATTAGGATACCCAAAGATCAACAGATCATTACAATGTTTGCAGAGAACTATACTCCCATCAACTGCAGGTGGGTTTTCATTTCCTGTTTTGTTATGTCTTTAAAGGAACTGAGTTTTGCCGCAATAGGATATTTTCTAATCCGTATATCTTTGCAACCTGATATTTCAAACTTTTTTCTGAAAGAATTTATAGTTTGAAACATCTAGGTATACGACATTGCGACATTGCGAAGATATGGGGAATTCGAAAATCTGAGTTTGTGGCAAAAACTCTGTCCCTTTCTTTCTTTATAACATCTAAAATCATTAATCCCCTGGTTTCTTTTTAAATCAAATTAATTGTGTTTTACAGTTTCGTCGTGTATATCAATAAAATGAAGACGACTTTCAATTTTAATTTTGGTTTTTATCAAGCTTTCCAACATCAGTTTGGATACTTATAGAATGGAAACAAAAAAAGCTGTCAATAAGTTTTAAACTTGTAATTGTAAAAATCGGAAATCAAAGTCGGAAATCAAAACCTTTACAGAACAGTCGTCTTCATTGTATTGATATAAACGCCGACCATTGTGGCTTATCCAAGATTTTATTTATTTTTAATGATATTCTTTGATTTTTATTCTTTAAATAATTTATTTATAGATCATCTCTAGAGGGAGTTTTCCAGTTCACTTACCAGTTCAGGTAAAAAATTGTAACTTGTAAAATTGTGAAATTGTAAAATAAAAAAAGTTGTATTCATAAATAAATTTTGATGATTTTCTTTATGGGAGAGAAGTATGCATTTGAAATGTCCTTTCTAAAAATTGATAATTTTTGAAAATTAATGATTTGCTTGCCATCTGAAATTTGATAATTTGATTTTTGAAAACTGATAATTCATATCTGAAAATTTACAATTTTCTTTCTTAAGATCAATAATTTTCTTTCTGAGTATTTATAACAATTTCTATTTGAAAATTGATAGTTTTCTGTTTGATATTGTTAATATTCTATCTGAAAATTGATTCCTTACTTTGTAAAAAATGGATTACTTTCTATTTGAAAATGGATTATTTCCTTTAAAATTTTTTTTTTTTAAAGATCTAGATGTTTATTATCTCCGTATCGAGATTATATTAAAGATACAAAATTGTTTAATTATATTGATTTTACAAAAAACTATTTTACGATAGTGGCATGTTCATACATGCCAATATCGTAAAAAATTAATAACTTTTTATTTGAAAATGGATTATTTTCTATTTGAAAATTGATTATGTTTAATGTTTTTTTTATAAGTGATCCTTGGAAATATATGCATCAACAAATTAAAATTAAAACTTAAATTTAATTGTCAACCCTTAATTTAAAAAGAAAATATATCTTAAAACTTAAAATTGTATTTGTTTAAATCGTGAAGAAACTGATTACTTGCCACAAACTGTAATTTAAGAAATCCATAAATCTTTGCAACATGATGGTGCATACGTTTGATATATTTCAAACTTTGCCTATTTCAAATAGATTCTAGTACAATAGATGGCAACGTAGAATTTGAACAGCTGTATTCTGTCGTCACAAGTGTCAACTTAGTTTTTGTGTCCGACAAAATTATCCATATTAGTGTTAATTTTAGAATAAAGTGCTTTTCTTACAGTAAAATAAGTGCAATTTTTTGTGTTCTTTATTTTCTGTTTTATTAAACTTTGCAAAATCTTTATTCTTTAAATAAAAAAATGGGAAAACGAAACGACCTGAAAACGATCTGAAAACAATCTAAAACGATCTAAGAACGATCTAAAACGATCTAAGAACGATCTAAAACGATCTAAGAACGATCTAAAAACGATCTAAAAACGCATTCGTTTTTTAGTGTTTTTGTTTGCTTATATCTTATGCCAGGGTCAAAGTTTGACATACCTAAAAATAAATGCAAATGCTTAGAATACAAAAATTGAAAATATTTGATACTCTTACATTATGTAATTTTGGAGCAGGAAAGAAAATATAGACCAAAACACGACCAAAAAACGACCGAAATTCGGCCGAAAATCGGCCAAAACGAAAAAAAACGAACTAATTGAAAGCACACCACTAACTGTGATTAATCTGTTCCTAGATCCAGCTAGATCATAAACTTACAAATGTTTGTTTAGATTTGCCTTTACGACTGAATGTTCCCACCCGGAGCAGCAAATCCATTCTTGTCAAAATGTCGGATCCCAGTTCCTCATCTCAAACCAGAAGTTTAATGTCACCTTCAAGAAGTGTCCCAACATGGAATGGAGCAAGGATGCCGTGGTGGAGTACAGCTGTCTTGGAGACTGGTTTGTGGGAAAGGATCATTTCTTTGCAGTCGCTAATACTAAGGAATCAAGGTAAAAACGTGTTTACGTCAACATAAAGGTACAAGAAACATTAATGAATTTAAACAATAAAAACAAACTATAGTCCTGACATTTCCAAAGTGTGGTTTGCTCTTTTGTCATGTTTCGCGAGACATATCCTGTCTCTGAAAGAATGGATTTTTAGATATTTGGAAAAAAAAGGAAAAATGATTATTCGATGGCCAGTTTTTGTCCCCATTTTTTATGCTGTTTGCCTAATAAATACAATAATTTTGCTTGAAGAAGAAGAAAGAAGGTTTAAACAAAAATTCAAGAAATAGGATAAAAAATAAATCTTTATAAAAAAGCTCTTTGCTCATATATATTTATATTTATATATTTTGGCTGATCGATTTTTTTAAAGCAAGAAAAATTTAAATTCGATTTTTTTTATTCCAAGGGCAAAGTCGGACAATTCAGCTTGTATCCAATGAAGTTGAAAGCTTTTTTTTTACAATAACATGAAAAAGCACTATCTAAATGTTTTTTTTTCATTTAAATTTCAAGTGACCCTTCCTTCAAAGAGGCAATTAATAGCTTAGTCTGATTAAAGATATTCCAAATAGCTTCTAGTACAATTGATGGCAACGTAGAATTTGTACACTCTCAGTACAGCAGTATTCTTACATCACAAGTGTCAACTCGGTTTTTGTGAATTTTAGAATAAAGTGCTTACCTTACAGTAAAATAGGTGCAGTTTTATGTTTTCTTTATTTTCTGTTCTTACACTTTTTTATCTAATCTTGGAAAACATGTCAATTAATGTGAGAACATTTCGTTTTCCTAATTATATTTGATACTTGTGACGTCGTGTATAATTGATCCATTTCTCTGTTGCCACCTATTGTACTTGATAATCTATTTGGATATTCAAGTTTTTAATAATCTTGGTGCGGTTTCTCTGCAAACAGGAAAAGTAGTTTGCGCATTCCTTGCATACAAGAATGAATGGAGAAATTCAATGAAATAAATACTTTTCAGAAAAACGACACGTTAGCTTTCACATTTTTTATCAGATAAATGATTCAAGAGTACCGTTGTAAATCGGGAATTCTTATTTGTTTAATGCAGGGTTCTTAATAATTGCATTTAATTTGTAGGAAAGATGAAAAGTATAGATGTTTTCTGAAGAATAGAGATGACGATTATTTTATCGGAGTTTCTATAACACCAGAGTGCAATCAAATCCGAACAGTCGAGGAGGTTTGTACGATTTTTTTCATCTGAGAAAAAAATATTATTTAAAGCGCGATGTGTGTGTTTTTGCGTACTTATGTGCGTCAATATGCGTCCTTAAAGTGCGTCCTCAAAATATTTTCTCAATGTTTGTTCAAAGTTGTCCTTAGTGTGTTACCTCTTTAGGTGTCCTTGATGTGCGTTCTTAATTTTGTTTCATTACTGTTTGTCCTTAACCCTAGTAAGGCAGGGAAGTCTAAATCTATGTTTAGACGGGGGAGGGGGGCTTAGAGAATAGGTATCGAGTTAAATGCATGTTATTAGACAAATTTTTCAAGGCCAGCTCATTGAAAAAAAATTAGATCGATAAAGTTTGGGTGCTATAAGGAGGGTTGAAAAAAATGCCCCCGAAAAAATCAAAAATGTTAAAAATTATTTTTTTTCGTCATAAACAAATATAAAAATGTTACACATGTTTCTACATCTATTTTTCAAGAATTTTTCAAAAATATAGTTTTTATATCTGTAGCTTAAAAAAGTTATAAGCTATTTTAGATTTTTTTAAAAGACCGGACTTTTTACCGCCTTGTACATAAAAGAATATTTTTTACAAAAAATCCTTTAAATTTCTTCTTGTTAAAAGTAAAAAAAAATCACGTTGATAGTTTCAAAAATGAGATTGCTAGGGCAGAAAAACTAGGGGGGGGGACCCCAAACGCCACCCCGCCCACAGCCTGTTTAGGGTCAAGGGACGTTCTTATTATCACACGTCTTCTTGTACCAACATAATGTTGTATAATATTGCTGAAGCTTTTAATATTTCCTTAAAATATTCACATTTTTGTTCCTCTTCTCTTTGGAATCATACTCTAATTAAATAAATGTTTATTTGATTAAATTTGAATTAAAAATTAAATTATTTATAATTAAATAATTATATTTATAATTGTGTAGGCTCCTCAAAGAATGCTGTTAACCCCTGTCAAACAAGTAACTGTTCAACCGGGCTGCTTTTTGCCTGAAAATTTTACAGGTCATTAATTTAAAAAACTCTTTTTGTTTGTTTGTGTCCGATCCTAACTCATGAACCCAGCTTCATCGATTTCCGTCAGATGCTGGGGGACTTGGTAAACCATAGGAATGTTCTTAGCTTAGTTTAAAGAAATTTAAGTTGAGTAGGTTGGCTTTTATGGCGAAAGTTTAGTTTCTAGGCAAAGCTGAAATATAGGGATTATTCCCTATTATTAGATATAAATATATCGTCAAAATATTGATTTTTTACCTACTTTTGAATAACACATTTTTTATCACAAAAAATAACAATTTTCGTCCATATTACAACGTTTTGAAAATCCCTTTCTCATCTGTGGAATTATTTTGGATACCAAAATTTGTTTTTCAATTTAGGAGAATGGATTAATACTGCAAATATAGATGCCGAGGTTACAATTAATTCAACTCATATTGTTGAAATCTGGCACCCTGACGTGGGAAGGTATATTTATTTATTCATTTATATATTTATTCATTTATTCGTTCATTCATTTGTTCATTTGTTCATTTATTCATTTATTCATTTATTCATTTATTCATATATTCATTTATTCATTTATTCATTTATATATTTATTCATTTATTCATTTGTTCATTTATTCATTTATTCATTTATTCATTTATTCATTTATTCATTTATTCATTTATTCATTTATTCATTTATTCATTTATTCATTTATTCATTTTTTCATTTATTCATTTATTCATTTGTTCATTTATTCATTTGTTCATTTATTCATTTATTCATTTGTTCATTTATTCATTTATTCATTTTTCATTTATTCATTTATTCATTTATTCATTTATTCATTTATTCATTTGTTCATTTATTCATTTATTCATTTGTTCATTTATTCATTTATTCATTTTTTCGATTTTTGCTAGGACTCGTAAGAATATCTACGTGTGTAAAGAGCAGAAGGATAATAGATATATGATGGCTAGACTTACAGTTGAAGGATGGTAAGATTATTATTTAAATAAATAAATATGATTTTTTGAAAAAAACGTGTTTTGTAAAGAGCTCATTTTAAACAAATAAATGTACAGACAATTCTTTTATGTCATTTTTAAATAATAAAATTTCAATTAGTCTTTTTTCAGCCAAGTAGATTTCCAGTGCTTTGAGTTCTTACCCAGACACCACAACATTATCAGGTCTGTATATGGTCTTTTAGCCCTGTTGTCCTTTATTGTCCTTTATTCATTGATACCATGCACAATAGGAGACCATTGGAGTTAAAACCAGTTTTATTATTTGCATAGTTGCGTAAAGCATATGTATTCATTTAGTCTTCGTTCCTTCTTAGTTATTTGGTTCTTTAGTCCTTTATAGTCCTTTATTCATTTAGTCTTCTGTCCTTCTTAGTTATTTGGTTCTTTAGTCCTTTATAGTCCTTTATTCATTTAGTCTTCTGCAGTCCTTTATTCATGAAGCCTGCTAAAGTCTTTTAGTCATTTAGTCTGCTTTAGTTCATTATGCATTTAGTCCTAAGTCTTCTGTAGTCTTTCAGTCATTTGCTCTTCTGTAGTCTTTAGTCTTCTGCAGTCCTTTAGTCATTTAGTCTTCTGTTCCAGAGTTTTCTGGTTCTCATTGAGTTCATTAAAAATCTATCTATCTATCTCCACCTGAAGTATCAATATATTTCTTACAAGGTCAAGGAAGGGTCTTGTAATGATCTTGGATGATTTTCACACAGTCTGTTCCTGGCTTAAGTTCCCCAATGTAGAGGCTTGGAAGTATGATATCATGATAAGTAAGTACCTATATACCTACCTACTTACCTACCTACCTACCTATATACCTACCTACCTACCTACCTACCTACCTACCTACCTACCTACCTACCTACCTACTTACCTACCTAATTACCTACCTATCTACCTACCTACCTACTTACCTACCTACCTACCTACCTACCTACCTACCTACCTACCTACCTACCTACCTACCTACCTACCTACCTACCTACCTACCTACCTACCTACCTACCTACCTACCTACCTACCTACCTACCTACCTACCTACCTACCTACCTACCTACCTACCTACCTACCTACCTACCTACCTACCTACCTACCTACCTACCTACCTACCTACCTACCTACCTACCTACCTACCTACCTACCTTTATACCTACCTACCTACACATATTTGTTTAGAAAAAGACCCTATTCCTATCAGGTGTCCGGTAGCTGGAGCTTTTATCTTTGAACAGGAAAACCGATATTCTAATCCTTCTGAAATCACTTAATCAAATTGTTCAAAAGAATTGAGTCATTTCCACAAACTTAAATTTTACAATCGCTATAATTTTGGAGCCCTTATAAATATTTCATACTATGAATTCTGCCATTAAAATAATTTAAGTTTGAAATATCAAAAGTTTACACAATTAGGTTGAAAAAATATTTGGATTAGAAAATTTGGGTTGATGGCAAAGACTTAATTCCTTTGTAGATTTTTTTTATTAAATTACGAAAGAACATGTTGGAGGAAAACTAAAGGGGGGGGGGTGAAAGAAACAAACCATAAAGAAGATAAATTATAAATAAATTGGATTAATTGGATCAGTGAAATATTGTTTTTAAAGGAAGGGGATTTCAAGTTTGAGACACGAGTCATCAAGGGAATCACTAAGGATCCCAGAGATACTATTTGGAGTAAAGGAGGTAATGTACTCATTAAAATAGGATGTCGTCTTTAACATTTCATAAAATTAAAATTGGGTTTACGCAAACCTGAAAACTAATTGAGTACAAGTTCTAAAAAAGTAGGACAGATTTAGAATCGTCAGAAAGATGAAAATATTATGCATTTGTAGAATTAAATTGTAAAAATAATGTATTTTTCCACATTGTGGAATACGTTTCAAAACTTTTTGATAAAATTTATTTTTGATTTTTTCTCTTTTTTGTGGTTTGGAGAACTAAACAACTAAAAAACTGAAAAATAGGGCAAATATAAGCTCTAAAATAGGACAAATATAAGCTCTAAAATAGGACAAATATAAGCTCTAAAATAGGACAAATATAAGCTCTAAAATAGGGCAAATATAAGCTCTGAAATAGGGCAAATATAAGCTCTAAAATAGGACAAATATAAGCTCTAAAATAGGACAAATACAGAGTTTAACGCTAGAGATCTTAATTGTTATGTGAATAAAAACAACCTAAACAATCATAAGTACAATTATTTAACAGAAATGTAAAAAAAATTCCTTTTCTTTTTAGGTTTTAATTTAAAGTATCTATTTAAATTAACTTAAATTTATTTGTATGAATCGAGTCTGAATTTAAAGAATTTGATCCGCGGCTTACATATGGTTGGTTCCAATAAAAATTGTTTTCAATTTTTCAAGATTTAAGCCGGCGCTCAATTGAAACCGGTTTTTGGCAAATTTAGGCGGCGGCTCAAATTCATTAAATTCGGACACCGGGAAGAACCAATAATTAAAAGAACAAACTCGGATTTTTTTCATCGCTGAATCTTTGCAACTCAAAGTTGTAAACCTTTATTACTTCTGTTGGATCAATCATCTAAGGTTGAAATATCTATGGTTTACACCGTCAGGTTTCCAAGACAAAAGGCGTAGAAACTTTTGAGTTTGTGGCAAAGACTCAATTCCTTTGTTAATATTTAGGTCAATGGTCCTGTCGAAAGAATATTTCTCGGCTTGCCGTTTGCGACACAGATCAAAAGGAAATAACAATCGACGAAACCTACTGTTGGTCAGTTGATCATTTGGGTCGGCCTGTCGATATTTATTCCGATGTCGACTACAGAATGCAGGTATTATTATTATTATTATTATTATTATTATTATTATTATTATTATTATTATTATTATTATTATTATTATCATTATTATTATATCATTATTATTATTAATATTATTATTTATAATATTCTAGTGTGTTGGGTACTGGAAGGAGAACCTGAAGTCCTATTTGATCACGTATGATCAGTTGGATGCCTTCACCAAGTACAGATGTTGGGTGTATCAAAGGTACAGTGTACTGCAGTGTACCTTTGTTTACATTTTTCCCAGAAATTGAAAAAAGTTTTATTTTTTGGGGTTCCCACATTGGCGTAGATTGTTAAGCAATCAGAAAACAAAAAGAGAATGTAAAGAAACCACATAAAATAATATTTCTTAAACAAAATATTGGTATCTACAAAACTGTTTGACCCGTTCCATGAAATTGGGTTTCATTCCGATCCTGTCTCTCAAGTTTCAGACTCAGAGGTTACAGTACAGAGATTGGATGAGAGAAGTAAATTTCTCAAACAATGTTACCTTTAAGGATGAGACTGTAAAGACGACCTAAAACTCTTGAAATATGACGATCGTATGGTTGATTTAAATGTTCTGTTTAATGGCTTATTTCATGATTAAGCAAAGAAAGACAAGTTTACATCTGAAGGGAATCAAAAATACAAGGAAATATACCGAATAAATTCCGTACAATCGTCTCATTCTTTGTGGTTAACCCTNGGGGGGGGGAGGGGGTGAAGGATGTGTGGCAAGAATTTCTATTGTTAAATTAAGGGGTTCATCAAGCAATGATCAGCAGTGATGGGCATCTGTTTTTAGTCTTTCAAGGTTTATTGGATTTTTAATAAGTTCCACATCAATTTGAGATGGTAATCCTATTTCAAGGTTATTGTACGCTCGATAAGTTTGCTTTGAATACTTTATGCAAAATGTTAACTCTATCCAAAGATATCTTCCAAAACAACTTTTCGATACGATGGCTGAAGTCGTTTTGGTTACTATCCATGGTTAGAGAAAACGTCTTATCTAATGAATAAATAAACTTTAAAAAAATCGAATCAAACAGTTGTGTAAAAACGGTGTCCATCCCTACCGAGAAGGTATGTTAGATAATCCTGCTGATAAGAAGGTGGGGGGGGGGGGGTGCATTCATGACTGCAGGTATGTGCATTGTTATGTACCCTATCCATCAATCTATTATATCTACTATGTAAGTTCCTGCTGGGAGCATATTTGAATAATTTTTATGAGATCTCGTACTGCGCGTTCACGTGAGAAATGAAATTATGAGATTTCAATCTTCATAAGTTTACTCCAAGATACGTCTCTATAGTAAATACTCTATCCAGGTACAACTCAAATTATGAGATTTCAATCTTCATAAGTTTACTCCAAGATACGTCTCTATAGTAAATTCCCTACTCTATCCAGGTACAACTCAAATTATCTTGACTATCAATATCAACACACGGTCACTATTTCGTGAACTATCAACGTCACTACCACTGTGCTTGATCTTGTTAGCTATTGATGTCAACTGGACACTAGCAGGTACTCTATCAACGCCAAACCAATGGGCACGATCTCAGCTCGTAAGTTTTAACGAGAACATAATTACTCTCTCATCAGCAATCAAATCAGAGTCTCTAAATCAACTAAGCTATATTTCTTCAGTTTAGATTAGAATTGGGCCTTAAGAGCGTAATTACAAGTTATGCATTGTTATAATAACGTAGTTAAGCAATCACAATATGGGTATAACGGAGTTATATATATCTACGTATATTGATTGGGTTAGCCGCAATACATTTACTAACGGGTACATTTAGCTATATTGACAACGTACGCACGTTATTTATTAATCTCTCACCCTCTCTCTTTATTATCTAATATCTATAACAATATCTATATTACTAAAATAACTCTGAAAAACAGACTAACTGTCATTCTTAAGAATATTAATTATTAATTTTATATCTATCTATACATCAATCTATTTATTTATCTAACTATCTATCTAACTATCTATCATCTATCCATCTATATATATTTCTTTCTAAATATCTAACAATATTTCTATATCTATCTATCTATCTATCTATCTATCTATCTATCTATCTATCTATCTATCTATCTATCTATCTATCTTTCTACCTACTTTTCCCATCTATCTAGGGGTGATCTGAACAAGATGTTTATGAGTATGTCCGTGGGACCATTCTGTGACCTAGCCCAGGATGTAGACAGCAAGGACTGGACCCAAGGAGCTGTAGTTTCTCTAGTAATGGATGAAAATGAGAGAGAATGTAAGTATATAATACAATTTCCAGAGGAATTGAGTCTTTGCAACAAATTCTGATTTTTTTTTCTCTACATCTTTGTGATCCAATGTCGAAGACCTTAGATATTTTAGTGGTTAATTAAATAATGTAAGTTTGAAAAATCAAAGGTTTACACCGTTAGGTTGCAAAGATATTGGGATTAGAAAATTTGAGTTTTTGGGAAAGACTCAATTCCTTTACAAAATCTATGATTAAGCTCTTCGATCGTATATATATATTTATATGTTAGCTATAGCTGGCCAAACGAGAGAACCAAATTGGCTTATGTGACCACAGGGAAGGTTTAAAGACGGCCAAAAACAAAACATTTTGACCGATAAAATATCGAATTTTAGAAAATCCCTGAATTTCACCATTTAAATATTATATGCTTTTCTATAACTTGAATAACTCGAAAATCTAGCTTCTTGATAATTACAATTTGAAATATCTGGTAGTATTAAAAGCTTTGTCTATAATTAAGAAGGAATAAGATAGATGTTAGGTACTTTCTCAAAGGATTTTTCCCAAGTGGCAGTTACCAAAATGTGAAATTACCCAAACAACAACGTCCTAAGTCCGTCAGCCGCAGTGCTCGTCGGCCCCCAGACTGTTCTAGTTGTGGAGCTCGGCCCACTAGCCCATCCTAGCCGCAGCCCTTGGCCCCCCATTGAAGCCTGCTGCGCCTGAGAGGGCCTAACCCAACCTTTGGGAAGTTGCCGCTTGGCAAATTGCACACTTGGGAAGTTGCCACTTGGGAAATTGTCATTTGGGAAGTCGGCCTTGGGAAAGTACCAAGCTCTATAAGACATTCATATTGTGAATTGGACATACCCTCTTTTTAAATTTACGGTCACATAAATAAATACTAAAGTATGACGACATTTTATGTCCCAAATATTTTAGAATAATATTGCGGGGCCCTTATAATCTGTTTGCGCTGTATGTATGCAGTACTTAATTATCTAGACTCCATTTATTTACAAACACAATGTTAATGTTAAAACACGAAATTAGAAAAAGTTTAATGAACATTAGTGTAATAAAAACAAAAATTTAAAAATTTTACCAAAACAAATAATTTTGTATGGCCCAACTAGTCGTCTTTATTCTGTCTGTTCCACTTTAGCATTTATTTAAAAATTCAAAAATTTTAAAATTTTAAAAAATGGATGGAATTAAATTTTTAAATTTTCAGACTTACTTTTAGATTTTTTTAAACCCTCCCTTTTACCCTAACAAATAAAGTAAAAGGTCTTTTTTAATAGGCTGCCCTTTTAAACGCTGGACTAGGGATACATATCACACACTCAACTCTCTAAAAGCAAAATCATGGGGGGGGGGATGGAATTCCCCCCTTCTATATTAGGCCAAAAAAGCCCAAGAGGGATAGGGTTAATTTCCATTTTTACTAAGATACTCTGTTGTTGGAGTAAATGTACTTATAGAGATAATAATTTCGATAAAAAGGATTTGATACTTAACAATTCAATGGAAAGATTAGATAAGCAAAGTAAACCTGTTTCTACTCATTATAAACTTTCATGGGAAATTCTCATTTTATGATAAGAACAAATATTTTAGATATATCCATAGAGATAGATAGATAGATAGACTTAAAGATAGATGAATTGATATATAGATAGATAAATAAATAGATAGATAGATAGATAATTCTTAGATTACCAGATAGGTAGGTAGGTAGGTGGGTAGGTAGGTAGGTAGCTAGGTAGCTAGGTAGCTACGTAGGTAGGTAGGTAGGTAGGTAGCTAGCTAGGTTGGTAGGTAGGTATGGTAGCTAGGTTGGTAGGTAGGTAGGTAGGTAGGTAGGTAGGTAGGTAATAGGTAGATAGGTAGGTAGCTAGCTAAGTAGGTAGGTAGGTAGGTAGCAAGGTAGGTAGATCAGTAGATTGGTTGGTTGGTTGGTTGTTTGATTGATTGATCGATTGATTGATTTATTGATTGATATTTTGATCTTGGATAGTTATGACTAAATCATTAATTTAGTTGAAAAGATAGAAAATTCTTAGATTACTAGATAAGTAGGTCTGTAGCTATGTAGGTTGGTTGGTTGATTGATGGAGTGATTGATTGATCATTAATTTAGTTGATCGATGTCCTCTGTACTTTAACGATGGAGCAGATCCCTGGACTGTCGATGAAAATTATATTAGGGAAGATCATTTAGATTATTATTATTTTTATTATTATTATTATTATTATTATCATTATTATTATTATTATTATTATTATTATTATTATTATTATTATATTTATTTTCAACTTTTAAAAAGTTCAATAATTTTTATATTCTTAAAAAAATGATTTTGATCATCAGGGTTTTTGATTTCGACAATTTGGAAACTTCGTCCTCTGTTTTCTACACCCTGTCGTCTGCACTCGTCCTATTTGTAGTAATTCTGTCGTCCACAGTTCTTCATTTCTAGATGACGACTCATCATTAGAACAAAAACCTTCCTGTAAACTCGTCCTTTCAGTACTTCTTCCATGTCCGACTAAATTGTCCGAACTATTTTCTACACAAAAGTTAACAAATAATGCTCAATTTACTCTGAAAACATCATTGCAAATTTTTTGCATTTTGCAATGAAAAAATATGTATTATGTAAAACTACATGTCTGCAAAATTATCTAAACAACTCGGGCATTCTAAATTCTACATTCAATTAATATCAACTAAACTGGTCACACAAGTACACTGTATTATTGTGCCAGGGCCCAGGGTTGTCCCTGATAGTGCCAGGGCCCAGGCTTGTCCCTGATAGTGCCAGGGCCCAGGCTTGTCCCTGATAGTGCCAGGGCCCAGGCTTGTCCTTGATAAAAGGGCAATATTTTTAAATTGTTATTTTTCTACAATTTTACATTAAAGTCGTCATTTAGAAATCAAAATTGTTTAAAGTTTTTAAATTTCCATTTTTAAAATCTAAACTGTCGTCGTATGTATCAATACAATAAAGACGACTTTCGATTTCAAATTTTTATTTCTGCCAAGCTTTTAAGCAGCATGGATACACAACATGGAAACTAAAAGAACCCGTAAATTTACAGTTTCTCTTTTTTAATTTTAATTTGAAAAAAAAATTGTTATAAATAAAAAATTTAATAAATTGAAATTTTTTGTTATCATTATTAAAATTAAATGGAAAAATAATCAAAACAGCCAAGAGCTATTTTCCACCTGATTTCTTTATACTTGTAATGTTAATATAATCATCAATTTGTAATTGTAAACTCGTTCTGTACACACATACATGTATTTTAGCAAAACTTTATCTTAACTTATCTTATCTTGCCTAAAAAGTCGTTCTGATTGTATTGATATAAACGTCGACCATTGTATGACTTCTTGTTCTTTCTTAAACTGTTTTATCCAGTTTGGAACCAATGTAACTGTATGTAAGATATTATTCTGAAATAAAAACATCATTACAATATTTTTTCAAATAAAAGGATTTGAAAGCTGCAGCTGGCAGGAGATTGGCAAAGTTTGGGAATCAAAATAAGTATTTGCGAAGGAACTGAACTTTTGCAAGCTGATGGTGTAATTAAAAATTACAATTTGTGGCAAAAACTCATTCTTTTCATGGGTTAGATTAAAATCTTGGAATGTTTGATCCAAGTCAGTCAGATGATTAGAATAACATTTTTTTCCTCACAAAGAAAAATATGTTTTTCTAAATCTTAGAAAATCCACTCATGTCATGAAATTTTAAGTGGGTTTTAATTGATTAAATTGTATTAATTAAGTTTAAAATAGTTTATCACGCAATGTTGGTAGAGCAGGAGCAGATGAAATCTTTAGGAATACTTTTAGTTTCAAGGCAACACTTGAAAACTCTGTTTGTCTGGCATTTTATACAAAATACATTCCATATATACTTGAATTGTAAAATTTGCAATGGTTGAGGTTGAGGTTGTCGAGTTCGGGTTGGGGTTGGGGTTAAGGTTAAGGTCGAGGTTCAGGTTCAGGTTCAGGATCAGGTAGAGGTTCAGGTTCAGGTTCAGGTTTAGGGACTAAGATCAGGTTGTGTAAGAAAAGTGTAGAAGAAATGCTGGTTGGAAAGATTTTATATAGATTACTCCTGAATGCTTAAGACAACAGCTCTAGGCATTTTCAAATCCGTCACGCAGCGTTAGCGTGAAACCTAAAGGGATTGGATACAAATTAACTTCCCCTTTTTACAAAGGATTCACAACTGCAGGGGCCCTTTAATTTTTTCTTTAAACATAAATTCATATAAACTAAATTCAGAGAAAACTTATTTCGGGGAAATTATTAATATTTGACGTTTTATTGAAAAAAGAAAGTGACAGCAAAAACAAGAAAGAAAAATCCCAAGATTTGTCAAATTCCAGACGGAATAAAAGGTTTCACACTTTAAAGTTTCNGGGGGGGGCAGCTTCATTTCTTAACAATTATTTATAGTTGGAAAACATTAAATCAATCACCTGAACATCCTAACCTAATCATATTCGTACCAAGATCAAATAGGATTACAATATGGAGACTAATTCAAACCAATTCGTTTAAAAATATTTCAGAAAAAAAATAAAAAATGGAATTCTCTAAAACTTTTTAAAAAACGCTCTGAATCAGTCAATTTGGTTCTTTTGCATTTGATACAAATGTGATAATTGCTAAAAAATGATGTTGTTAAAAATGTGGATGATATTGTTGTTTTTCTAGATTTGAAAGTGTTTAATTCTAATAATGCCTAAACTTTTTCTTGCATTAGAATATGCACTAGTCTCTTTTGTAGAGAAGTCATAATTAAAATTCGAAAATATAATCTGTATTCAAAATTATAAACATTGAAATCTGATTCATACTTGACTAAACAAAGGTTTAAAGTTTCCAATCGAAATTACGCGCAACTGTTCTTGAACTATGCGGGATTGTGCAGAATTGCGCGTGGAATGTAGAACTCGCAATTGCGCTGCAAGTAAAATCCACTTGCGTCTAAATTGTTGCTCAATAAGTTATTTTCTAAATCTGCAACTCAGGTTGAATATTGTGCAATAGGGCCGGGGCATTTACACCACATATTTTTTATTTCCCAGTTAAAGGGACTGTCAGTGTAATTTCAAGTGACCATTCATGTAAAGATGAAAATGTCCGATTAACAAAAATTTATACAAAAGTTTTAATGAATTTCAAAAGACAATTTTATTTCCATTTAAAAGCTGGGTTTTGAATGAGGATTATATTTTCTTAAAGTTTGATGCTCTGGTATTATATAAGTGTATACTGTATACCCACTTATACTGCAAGTTAGTACAAGAAGAAACTCGCAGATTCTGCAACGTTCCGAGTCAGTAGTCTTGCAACGTTAGTATACATCGGACGTTAGTGTAATATAACTACGCATGCAATGTAAAAAGAATCGTTGGATTTTCTATCCTTATCCTATTTTTATTTAGATTTTTCTATCCATATCCTATTTTTATTTAGATATTTTTTATCCATATCCTATTTTTATATGGATATTTTTTTCAACCATATCCTACATTTATTTGGAAATTTGTTATCCATATCCTATTTTTATTTGGATATTTTGTTTTTATCCATATTCTACTTTTAATTGGATATTTGGATTATATCCCTATTCTATTTTGATTTTTAAAGGAATTGAGTTTTTGCCACGAATTAAAATATTCTGATTGAAATATCTAAGGTCTACGGCATTGGGTTGCAAAAATATATAGATTAGAAAATCAGAGTTTGTGGCAAAAACTCAACTCCTTTGGATTTTATCCATATTCTATTTTTCATCTTCAGTTTAAGTGTTTTTATATTTGGGTTTCCAACGCAAGTGTATTTTATTTGCGCGAAATTGCGAGCCCTGTAATCTCTTCGGAATTCCGTGCAATTGTGCACAACCGAATTCCGATTAGAAACCCTACTTTAAACATATTCTGAGAAGATATCAGTGGATCAAGTGGATTTTACTTGTGCGTAAAGTTGTTTATCGTTTTTCGTTTATCGTTATATTTTCCTCTCTCCTCCTCTCTGCGATAAGGATCGTTAACAAACAAAGTGTCGTCGTTAACGATCGTTATTGAAGTTTTGTCATAACAAGCATTATCGAAGGGTCGTCGACCTAACAATCGTTAACAAAGGGTCATCATTAACAATCATGAATGAAACGGCGAACTTTATAAAAAGGACCATTTTTAAAAACGATTTCTTTTAAAAATCGATCGTGCGCTCATTTTTTGTTTTTTTTTCGTTGTCGTTTTGATAACAAATTGATCTTTTTAAAAAATATTAAAACGATCCATCCCTACTTTTGCGTAGTCTCGAGCCATTTAATTCAGCACAATTCCACGCTATTTTGCGCAATTCTGCGCAACAGAATTCCTTTATGAAGTAAAAAGTTAATATTTCTAGAATCTCTTTTAGACTCATATTTTAGATATATACGCGAAATAGCGCATCGTGACTGAAAAAAAGACACTACACTATGTAATGTATCTTATGTACACAGCACAAAGTACAAACCTAGCGAAATATACAAAATTTCAAAATTTGGATTGCTGCTTTATAAGTGTCAAAAATCGCTACATTCCACAAAAATTGCTTATTTGACAGCAAGATTTGGATGACTGCCATGCCATGTTTTGTCGCGTATTGGGGAGCCATCCAACTTTTGCTTCAAATAACCGATCTTTTCTTTACTATAAGTGATATATTTTTAAGTTTAGATTGCAGATTTACATGTGGTCATGTTAATATCATTCCCAATCCCTTGGTAAACATGTTAATACCATTCCCAATACCTTGGTAAACATGTTAATACCATTCCCAATCCTTGGTAAACATGTTTATACCATTCCCAATCCCTTGGTAAACATTTATGGTTATATTAGCGCAATAGGTATAGGACAAAGGTATTAAGTAACAGTTTATAATCAAGTTGTCAGCTGTATGTTCGTTTTCATGTTATACAAATGACTTAGAAGTTATGAAAAACGACTTAAAAAAACATTATTAATATAAATTTTTTATTAAAACTTTGTTTTTAGACACTTTGGCCGGTCACTCCCTTTAAATGTAATCAGATGCATCTCTTCATTGTGTCCTTGTATAGAACATTTTTTTCTTTCTATGGCATCATTTTCATTGTACTCTGTACTGTGCATTGACTGTGTACGTGAAATGCAATCAGATGCATTGGCCTTGTAATCATTATTTTTTACTTTTTGATATTTTCTGTATTTTTTTTCTTGATATCATTATTACAAAATGCAACAAAATGCCTTTCTGATGTTCTGTTCGTCTTCTAATAAATATATTGTTGAATCATTTTAAAATCTGCTTTTTTTCTAAACCCGAGAGCATTTTTTAAGTTAAAAGGGGTAAATATTAGCTCTGTTTTCACTTTGGAAGGAAATTTCAAAACCTCTTATATAAAAAAATAAGAAAGTAACAAAACACCCCCCCCCCCCCCTCCCTTACTCAGCCCTGCACACCCCTTCCCCTTCACTTATTAAGAATTTGCATGTGGGAAACTTGAAGCTTATCTTATATATCCAAATATATAAATATAGCTTTCCTAACACCCAGTTCAACTTTATACCTTATCTAAGAATATTATAATGTGAAATTTTACTTTATTCAGATAAAAAATAGACTGAGGGCGCTTCGTGCCCCTTTTCTAGTAACATTATCAGTTATATTCAATTTTCCTTTTATGTTGATATTTTTCCAGGATTTGACCGTTCATAAACCTTTTCTAGGGTCATGTGATTTTGCCATAAAAAAAATGTTAGGTATAAACTAACAAATATATATATATATAGATATATGTAGTTACACTATATTTTTATTTGATATAGATCATGCAATCGCGGTGACATATAAATATTATGTAAGATATTCTTTTGTTAACATTTCATGTCATTAAAGACTTCTACTAATAATAATATGTAATATACTATATTAGATACATTTTTCAAGAGCAAAAAGCGTTATTAAAGGGACTATAAGCATAATTTTAATTGGCCCAATTAAAAGCTTTGTCTGATAGTTTCTCTGTCGACTTGCGCATTTCTTATTTACAATAAGGAACGGAGAAATGATCAGAATTAAATACTTTTCGACTTCCAAGTCAGAAAAACGAGGCCGCCTTTCACATTTTTTACCACATTCATGTTTAAAGGGTACCGTTGTAAATCGGGCAGTGCAATTTTTACATGGAGGGTCACTTGAAATTACGCTTACGGTCCCTTTAAGATAGTTATGAAGCTAACATCTCAGTGTTATTTGATTTTAAAAATTCACTTTCTTTATACTTTGAATCGTAAAACAATTATTTCGACGATAAATATTTTTTCAATGTAATATACAATTATTAAATTTGTATTCATATTTTTTTTGTTGAAATAAAAACTATGGCATGATTTTTATATTTTGAATATTTTTATTAGTGAAAAATGTGTATTTTTTATCATAGAGAATTACAAAACCCTTATATAATTGCACTATAAAATGCACATGTGTGAAGTTTTTTTGTGTCAAGTTCTGTAAATTTCAATTGCCAGTTATTTGCACAAGGACCTTTAGCTTGTTAAGGTCTCGTTAAAATTATAACACTCTGTGGTTCTAGAATTGTTTACAAAATTATCAAAAAATAAGATGTTTGAATCTAAAATATTTATTCCGTCGTGGGTCAATTATACTTCCTCATACAAACACGAGTACTTCAATCTCAATATAAGAAAGATGGATATTTTGGTACAACACACATTCAGCCAATCTCACGTAAAGGAATACATAGCTCATGAAATGTCGTCTTTAAATTTATTAAAATATTCATGACAGCTGCATTGAAATATTCATGACAGCTGTATTGCTTCATAATTGGACTGCACAACAAGATAGCTCCTGAGATGTTCGCAGTCTGAAAGGGTTGAATATGTTTTATGAAAATATATCCAATGTCATTGAAGAGTGAAAAGTTTTTTTGATAATTATTAAGAAACTGCAGCTTTTTATTTTTAATTCAAAGTAAATTAATATCCCTGAAATATGCAGGACAGCAATTGCCAGCAAACTCGTTTTTCGCGGCGTTTGGTCTTAAATATGTTGAGAATACGACATTATAAACAACCCTTGCTCGTGTCCTGTTTGAGACATTGATCAATTGATTGCTAGTGTCTGTTTTGACACCTGTAGCTAACGAGATCGCGCCCAGTGGTTATAGTTTCGTTGATAGCTCACCGGATTGTAGCCGTGTGGATCTGTTACTGTTTATTATTCATAGCGGACGGATTTTACTTGGACTGATACAGATTGGGACGAACTTTTAAAAGTACGACATTTACTACATGTGTTCACATATCTGGGATTCACTGTAGCTTGATAGATTTTACAATTTTAAACATAATTATGACTTATCATTGTACCTGATATTTACGGGTTTCACCTTTTTTTCCCTTCAGAAGATTCCAGAATGGTTGGTAAGGTTTGCATAATAGGCGGAGGACCCTCAGGCCTCGCTGTACTCGCGGGGTTTGCGAAGATGCAACGAGAAGGACAGGTGAAATTTAATGATTTTTTATCCATACAGTGAAACCCATAAAACTATGGAAAAGCAAGACGACATTAAAGCATTGATTCTGTTTTTACTTTTCAAGTGAAACAAGTTTGTGTTTATGCTACATGTACATAATTGGCTTTTTATGTTCATTATCTATCTATCTTTACAGGATATTCCTGAGTTGGTGTGCTATGAGAAGCAGTCTAACTGGGGAGGATTATGGAACTATACCTGGAGAACCGGTTCAGACCAACATGGGGAACCGGTTCATGGCAGTATGTACAGGTGGATACATAACCAGTTCATGGCAGTATGTACAGATAGGTTACATTACCGGTTCATGGCAATATGTACAGGTAGGTTGTATAACCATTTCATGACAGTATGTACAGGTAGTTATATAATCCGTTAATGACAGTATGACTATGTACAGGTAGGTTATAAAACTGGTTCATGGCAGTATGTACAGGTAGGTTATATAAACGGTTCATGGCAGTATGTAGAGGAAGGTTATATAACAGGCTCATGGGAGTATGTACAGATAGGTTAAATTACCAGTTCATGGCAGTATGTACAGGTAGATTATATAACCGGTTAATGATAGTGACTATGTACAGGTAGGTTATAAAACCGGTTCATGGCAGTATGTACAGGTACACGCAATGCTGCCGCTTTAGTAATTGTAAATTCAACCAAGAGGCTGCCTGAAGTCAGACGGCATCAACATAGTTGCACCAGCTAACCAGAGTTTGTACAGGCGGGACAGTCCAAATTAGGATCGTAAAAGTTGGCCCAGGACGGATTCAATTGTAGTCCGGTTGTGCGTGGGTAGCATATATCAATCAGTTTAGCTTGAAATTATCTGTACAGTCCCTTTTATTCCCATACCTGATGGGGACCTCCCGGCCCTCTAGTAGTGCCATATAGACATAACAAAGTAAGGTTATTTTCTTATCAAATGTGTGTTGGGGCATTTCACAAAAGAACATTCTGTAAACCCACCAAGGATGTAGAACCACATCCTAGTTCATTCAACCCAAGCTAAAACTTTATCATCAGTTGAGAACTGGACAAACAAATAATAATGATTTAACCCGTTACTCTGCATCTATTACCAAGGAGGATAGGAAATTTCCAGGAGAACGAGATTCGAACCCGCGTGACCCTTATCTGGTGGAACATGGATAACGGTACTTTCGTCGGCAGAGAAAGCAAACTAGGCGTCCATTTTCTCCCCGATAAGAGTGTTAGTCTTGATGAAGCATCAGAAGAGAGCGGTCGATAACAGCTCCAGTAGCTCCGAGAGGAGAATTAGCTCCATCTATGATTCCAGGATTAACTTCGGTTGATCATCAGTTTGTATTTTAATAATAATGTAAAATAAATGTCCGTGCAAAGTTAGTGCTTTAATCGATTCCATCTGGCTTGTTATATTGAGTTTCTCTTTGTAAAGTTTCTATTAAGTTTATAATTCTATCTATATAATAAAGCTCTTTGCTCATGTATATGTTAGCTATACCTGGCCAAACAGCTTGACCAAAATTGGCTACAATTTTGAAATAAACCCCTGAGTCTAAAAAATTCCACCGGCAACGCCGGGCACTTCAGCTAGTATATATCAGAGATAGGACATTTCATTGACACTCTCTATAAAATATCCTGTCTATGAAATGTTCTGTCAATGGCATGTCCTATCTATGAAATGTCATATCTATGAAATGTCCTAAACATTTAACTTCAAATCTACGCGGTACATGTAACTGCTGTACATACACATATAAACCAGTAACTGTAGTACATAAAGATCGAACACGTACAGGTAGCTGCAGTACATAAACAGATAAATCAGTAACTGTAGTACAAAAAAAACATGTACAGGTAACTGTAGTACATAAACACATAAATCAGTGACTGAAGTATATAAAAAAACATGTACAGGTAACTGTAATACATAAACACATACACCAGTAACTGAAGTACATAAAAAACATGTACAGGTAACTGTAATACATATACACATAAACCAGTAACTGTAGTACATAAAAAAACATGTACAGGTATCTGCAGTACATAAACACATTAACCAGTAACTGAAGTGCATAAAAAACATGTACAGGTAACCGTAGTACATAAACACATAAACCAGTAACTGTAGTACATAAAAAACATGTACAGGTAACTGTAGTACATAAACACATAAATCAGTGACTGAAGTATATAAAAAACATGTACAGGTAACTGTAATGCATAAACACATACACCAGTAACTGAAGAACATAAAAAACATTTACAGGTAACTGTAATACATATACACATAAACCAGTAACTGTAGTACATAAAAAACATGTACATGTAGCTGCAGTACATAAATACATTAACCAGTAACTGTAGTGCATAAAAAACATGTACAGGTAACTGCAGTACATAAACACATACACCATAAACTGTAGTACATAAAAACATGTACATGTAACTGTAGTACATAAGTACATACACCAATAATTGTAGTACATAAAAATCATGTAAAAGTAAATGTAGTACATAATCACATTAACCAGTAACTGTAGTACATAACAAACAAGTACAAGTAGTTGCAGTACATAAACACACAAACCAGTAACTGAGGTACATAAACACATACACCAGTAACTTTAGTACATGAAAAGCATGTGCAGGTAACTGTAGTACATAAACAAATAAACCAGTAAATGTAGTACATAAAAAACATGTACAGGTAACTGTAGTACATAAACACATAAACCAGTAATTGTAGTACATAAAAAACATGTACAGGTAACTACAGTACATAAACATATTTACAGGTAATTGAATTACGGAAACACATGTACAGATAACTGCAGTACATTAACACATGTACAGGTAATGCAATACACAAGCACATGTACAGGTAACTGCAGTACATAAAAACATTTACATGTACCTGCAGTACATAAACACAAGTATAAGCAACTGAAGTATATAAAAACATTTACAGGCAATAAATAAATCACATGTACACTGTACAATACAGATAACTGCAGTACACATGCACATATGCAAATAACTGCACACTTGAAATGTTTAGGTATCTCTGGTCCAACGGTCCTAAGGAGACCCTTGAGTTTCCTCAGTATACATTTGAAGAACATTTTGGTAAAGCTATTCCTTCCTTCCCACCCAGAGAGGTGCTATTCGACTACCTTCAGGGCCGATGGAAAAAGGAGGACATCAAAAAATATGTCAAGTAAGAAAATATACTTGAAAGTCGTCTTTGATCAATAAAATCTTTTATTGCCTTTACCAAGATGGATTCATAATCAAATCCGCCTAAACCATATCAATATTGATTTGCTGAATTGTCAAATTTCATGACTAAAGTTTTTAGTTTATCATAGTTTGTTTAGTAAAAGTTATATTTTTATATAAATATATATGCAGATTCTTTTAGTTATTTTTAATTATGATAAATACAATTGAGCTAATTTACTGTTCCATAGAAAAGAATTCTTTTTTTTCAATTTGACGCACCATAATTTTATGATTTTTCTTGTTTTTTTTTGACGAAATTTCAATATTATGATATTGTTCAGGTTTAACACCGTGGTGCGAGATGTCTGCTATAACAAGGAAACTGATGATTTCACTGTATCTGTCAAACGTTTGGATGAAGACCAGGTATATATTTAAAGGGACAGATCGGCTATGTAAGGTAGTTGAAGTGAGTGTGCAGTGTTGTGGACAAATTCTTTAGGATTCATATGAAACATCCTGAGTTTGAGTGCAAAGTCGACGTTCAAAACTCCTAGTTTTCAAAATTGCTTTTTTTTTAATTATTGAATAAAAACGACAAAAAATGTAAACAAAATTCTACAGTAAACTGATTAGTTGTTTAGGAACATGTTGAGAAAATAAAAATTAACTCTTATCATCAAAAATAAATAATTTTATTATTAAAATTATAAGTTCCTATAATTTCTCATTATTCACAAAGATGTTCTGCAGATTTTTTGGAATTTTTATTGAAAAGACGACATTTGAAGAATTTGTAGAAATCTGCAAAAAAAATTAATAGAAAATAAGAAATTCAATATAATGATGAAAACGAAATAATTGATTCTAACATTGATTTATTGATAAAAATCTTTTGATAAATATATTCCTAACCATATAATTAGTTTACTGTTTAATTCTTAATTTATTTTTTGTCGTCGTCATTTAATAACTAAAAAAAACAATTCTGAAAACGTACCTACCCAAATTCATGATTTTGAACGTCGCAACATATTCATTGTTTAGGTTTAACACTGACCCCAGATGGGGTTCGAGGATATTAGGGTTAATATACGGGAATAAAAGGATGACTTTCATTGTTTAGGGTGAACAATAGTAGGTCTGTCTCTTTAAACGGCTCGAGTATGGAGATAAGATGCAACTTATTTTTCACAGAGTTAGTTTATGAAACCAGTTTAATATCGAATGCTATTTCGTTTTCACTCATGTCCGATGATACTCTGTATTTAATATTCTATTAAAGGTTGAAGACGGAGAAAGGTTTGATTATGTGGTTGTAGCCTCTGGACACTACTCTGTTCCTAATGTTCCAAGCTTCCCGGGGATTGATAGGTTCCCAGGAAGAGTTCTACATTCTCATGACTTCAGGTTGAATATATAGTATAATAGTGTGTCATATTATAGAGATTGCAGCAGGGTGATGATAGTTTCCTACCTGTGTGCTCAGTTAGCTGTACTGAGCTGAAAACTTTAGAATGGTGGATATCAGGATTAAGGCTTAAACCACTCTTTTTCTTAATATCCAGTTTAAATATTGCTTGTTCTCCACATGAATTTAAACTCCAGAGAAGCAACGTTATCTTCCAATTGGATATTTCATTCTAAAGTTTTCAGCTCTGTACACTTACACCTGTTTACTAATATTGATATTCTATAGGTTAGGCCAGAATCAACTTATAATAAACAAATACGCAGTACGCTCTCGGTATAGTTGATGGCCTATACAATTAGTAAAGGATTACCGTACATCATCACTCTATACAATATAACCTCGTTAGATTGTAGACTAAAGGGACTGTAAGCGTAACTTCAAGGAATTCTCCATGCAAAGATGGCCATTTCCGATTCACAACGGTACCCTCGAAAGCCTTTCTAGCTCAAGTATGAATTATTTATTGATTATTTTGTTTCTTTAAAATGTTTATTTTCATTCGCGGTTTCTCTGTGAAAGTGACTTGCGCATTCCAATTGCTTTTAGGAAGAAATGGAGAAACTCACAGAAATAAACACTTTACGGGTTAGGAAAACGACGGTATCTTTCACATTTTTGATCAGATTAAGGTTTCAAGGGTATCGTTGAAAATCGGACATTGCCATCTTTGTTTGAAGGGTTACTTGAAATTACACTTACAGTCCCTTTAATTTCAAGTGATCCTCCTAATACAGCTCACCCAAAAGGCAAATGAATTGAGTTTAAAGATTTTAATCGTTCTGGGATTTTTAAATTGTGGTCTGTCCAATTGAAAGAAATATTAACTAGCTTTTCCCGATTGAATTTATTGATCACATTAAAAAAGTCAAATATTACGTTAACTTTTAAAATTTAAAGAAAGTTACTTTTCAATATTTATGTAAACAACCGGTTTTTCACACTTCTCGTATTCATTGGCTTTAAGTTCCCAAGTTGATTATATTAAGAGGCTTTTTTTGACGTTCTAAGTCTGCAAGTTATCACAAGTGTCAACAAATTTATTCATTTTACAGATTCAAATTTCATAGATAATATTAAAAACCTTATAATGCATAAACTGTACAATTAAAAAACTTTTTTTTTAATAACCAGAAGGTCCTGTCGATATTACTAGAAATATAACATTTTGGAAGATTTTTGATTTTATGCGAACTAAAAAAACCATGGTTCAACAAATAAATTGAACTGGTCTACACAATTTCAACGTTTGAAAAATAATACAGTATCTGAGACCTGTAAGCAGCAGAAATATTGTAGTGTGAAATCAACCAAGGGTCCCTATGTACATACACTTACATACTCATCTCATATAAATTCATTGCTCCCAGTCAGAGAAATGATACACATAACAAATAAAATCTAAGAATAAAGCCAAACAATCTAGATCCAGTCCAAAAGGGTCTTGAACTCTGTGTATGTTTTCAGCATTAAAAACATAAGAGTGTAGGGGGACAAGGGTATTGAACCCCCTCTCTTAACTAGAGACATCAAGTTCGTCCCATTTACGGGACAGCTAGGGTGGAATCGATGCTGTCGAAAAGAGTTAAACAGCATCTTATCCCTGGAGCTTCCTAGGAGGAGTCAGATAGCACAAATCATCTAATCAGAAGAATCAAACGGAAATATATTCGCCACTGGCGAATGTATCAACTTTAGTTGGTCCAACAATATTTTTTTGGTATCGTTTTATGTAAATATAGTTTTTGTGCAACCATGCTTCGTTATTCCCCTCAATCTTGGCTTTTTAATTCTGAATTAATTTCAAGTGTATGGTAGTCTTTTTTATTTCCTTCAATTATATTTATCTGAGAATTTTCTATTTTTAATTGCGTAAAGATACACAGGTTGTCCTAATAAACATTGGAATCAAATGACGACTTCTATATCGTCTTTGTTCCATGCGGGATTATTTCGTATACATAATTTTGAAGTTTCACAATTAAAACAGTTAACACCGAAAACGACCATTGTCGGGATTTCCAAAATGTGGTATACAATATTTTCACCCTCAAAATGGACGGAGATTTCAGATTCCAGTTTATTAAAAATCATAAAAATTGATCAAAAGTTTAATATCTCTATCAATTTTTAAAGATACAAAGAAAGTAGACCATAAAAAGTATGAAAAGTATAAAGAGTATGAATGGTATGGTAAAACCAAAGTCATAACAGGGCAAGTTTTTAAAGTCCATCTGTTACAACAAAGAGAATTAGACCAATTACACACGACGTCACAAGGGTCAAATATAACAAAAAAACGAAATTATCTCACATCAGTTGACATGTTTTCCAAAATTAAATAAAAAAGTGTAAAACAGAAATAAAGAACACTTAAAATATTGCACTTTTTTAATGTTAGAAAAGCACTTTATTTTCAAATTATCACTGTTATCAATAATTTTTTTTAAACACAAAAACTGAACTTGTGACGTGAGAATACAGCTGTAATGAGAGTGTTCAAAATTTACACTGCCATCTTTTGTAATAGAATCTATTTTATCTGTATCATTTCTTTGTAAAGTGATATACCTGAAACAAATTAAAAGATCAATGTGGGGTATGAATAATTTAAAGAAATCAATTGACTGGATGTATTAATGTATAAATCTAGGGAGGCAAATGTATAGGTGTATAAATCTAGGGAGGCAAATGTATAAATGTATGAATCTAGGGAAACAAATGTATAAATGTATAAATCTAGGGAGGTGAATGTATAAATGTATAAATCTAGGGAGGTGAATGTATAAATGTATAAATCCAGGTAGGCGATTGTATAAATGTATAAATCCAGGGTGGCGAATGTATAAATGTATAAATCCAGGGAGGCGAATGTATACATGTATAAATCTAGGGAGGCAAATGTATAAATGTATGAATCTAGGGAAACAAATGTATAAATGTATAAATCTAGGGAGGCGAACGTATAAATGTATAAATCCAGGGAGGCCATTGTATAAATGTATAAATCCAGGAAGGCGAATGTATAAATGTATAAATCTAGGGAGGCGAATGTATTAATGTATAAACCTAGGGAGGTGAATATATGTATAAATGTATAAATCTAGGGAGGCGAATGTATAAATGTATAAATCCAGGGAGGCGAATGAGTTTACTGGTAAGAGATTACTCTGTATTGGAGCCAGTTATTCAGCTGAAGATATTGCCTTGCAATGCATTAAGGTAACTTTTTTTTTTTAACAAACTGTCGGCATGTTCCCTAATAACCCTCCTGCATGCTCGATTTACAACGGTAATCTTTTAAAGTTTTGTCTGTTAGTCGAGTACAGCGATGTATGTGTTTAAACTTATCGAAACCCGCTTGTATTCAGCTGCAAATTCAAGTGAGCGCTGAGTTTTGTTGAGTTCAGACTGTACGTAACTACGTAACAGCACACACTTGAATTTGCAGCCATGAATAAAAGTGGGTTTCGATAAGTTTACACACATATTTCTCTTTTATCAACGAACACAAAAATGATTTAAGAGAATACCTTTATAAATCTTTATATGGTGGGTTGATAAAATTACAATTACAGTCTCAATAACTGATCAAATTATTATATTAAAGAATAATTATTTTAAAAAATATTTTATATTCTTTTAGTATGGAGCAGAATCTGTTGTGATCTCCTACCGAACCAAAGCTATGGGTTTCAACTGGCCTAAGGAGGTAATTAACAGCGGGACCATTAGGTTTGTGAATAAGAAGACAACTTTTATTTGCACAAGTTTAGTTTTAATACAGATAAACAGATAGATTGATATTATCTCCAAGTTTTAACGGCAAAAAAAAGCAGTTATTACTCGAAAAACCTAGGATCTTTTATTAGCAATATAATAAGTTTTAAAATGATTCGTTCTTTTAAAACTTTCTGATTAGCTCTGAAAATCGCAATTTAAAGCTATAACATGATCCACAATGATGTGGGACACCCTGTATAGTCCAATTTAAAGCTATAACGTGATCCACAATGATGTGGGACACCCAGTATAGTCAAATTTAAAGCTATAACGTGATCTACAATGATGTGGGACACCCTGTATAGTCCAATTTAAAGCTATAACATGATCCACAATGATGTGGGACACCCTTTGTAGTCCAATTTAAAGCTATAAAATGATCCACAATGATGTAGGACACCCTGTATAGTCAAATTTAAAGCTATAACATGATCCACAATGATGTAGGACACCCTGTATAGTCAAATTTAAAGCTATAACATGATCCACAATGATGTAGGACACCCTGTATAGTCCAATTTAAAGCTATAACATGATCCACAATGATGTAGGACACCCTGTATAGTCAAATTTAAAGCTATAACATGATCCACAATGATGTGGGACACCCTGTATAGTCCAATTTAAAGCTATAACATGATCCAAAATGATGTGGGACACCCTAAATAGTCCAATTTAATGCTATAACATGATCCAAAATGATGTGGGACACCCTGTATAGTCCAATTTAAAGCTATAAAATGATCCACAATGATGTGGGACACCCTGTATAGTCTAATTTTAAGAATTAACATGATCCAAAATGCTTTGGAACACCCTGTATAGTCCAATTTAAAGCTATAACATGATCCACAATGATGTAGGACACCCTGTATAGTCCAATTTAAAGCTATAACATGATCCACAATGATGTGGGACACCCTGCATAGTCCAATTTAAATCTATAACATGATCCACAATGATGTGGGACACCCTGTATAGTCCAATTTAAAGCTATAACATGATCCAAAATGATGTGGGACACCCTTATAGTCCAATTTAAAGCTATAACATGATCCACAATGATGTGGGACACCAAAAACTATTTGCTTCATAATAACATTAAATACACATCAGATTTTAAATGTCGTCTTTCTATTCTACAGTTTGTTTGGTTTGACTTACTAAACAAAGTAGTTTCTCTACAAGTAAGGAAGTACATATCGTTCCATTTAAATGATTTATGTTATTTTTTTTATTTATTGATTAATTTATGAACTTAATCATAACAAAATACTACTTCCAAAATGAGGTCTGTCGGTTCTTTTAATATTTAATATTATTTTCTATTATTAAAGGGACTGTAAGCATAATTTCAAATGACCTTTCATGAAAATATGGCAATGTCCGATTCACAACGGTATCCTTGAAACCTTTATCGATCATTAATGTGGAAGATACTTTTTTTACAGCTTTAAAAGTGTTCCGTTCTAATATTTTTATGTCTCCTGCAGTTACTTTTGTAGAGAATCCACAGTTGAAAAAAAATCAGTTTTAAAAATGATTAACATTGATATCTTATCCATACTTGATCAGACAAAACTGTTAAGGGTATCGTTGTAAATCATGCACTGTCATCTTTGCATTGAGGGTAACATACAGTTAAGCTTACACACCCTTTAATCATAAATTAAACATATTGAATATGTTTCTTTATTTTTGTTTAATTACAGATGACCAAGGAGTATGGAATAGAAGGGAGATATAATTGACGCAGCCCACCCTAAAATATGATTATACATGCTTTGCAGACGGGTACTCCATTTGTAAAAGAAATATTCAGAATAGGTTGTTGTATACGCGGTAATTGTATACATCAGACAAACATTTCTAATTCAAACATGTTATAATCAATGGTAGGGCGGACCGCGTCAGTTGTATCTCCCTTCTATTTCATACTCCTTCTAGATAACTGAGCGCCCCCTGGTGGATAGATTTGAAGGGAAAACTGTCCACTTTAAAGATGGCAGTAGTTCAGAGGTTGATGCTGTTATCATGTGTACTGGATATCTACATTCATATCCTTATCTCAGGTACATTAGCAATACATCATGTGTACTGGATATCTACATTTATATCTTAGATACATTAGCAGTACATCATGTGTATTGGATATATACATTCATATCCTTATCTCAGCTACATTAGCAATACATCATGTGTACTGGATATCTACATTCATATCCATATCTNAATACTTGATCAGACAAAGCTTTCAAGAGTAGCGTTGTAAAAATGTAAATCTGGATCCGTATAAAAAGAGACTTTTTCTTTAAATTCAATTGGACTGCACTATTTAAAACTGTGCCCTCTAAATTCATATCCATATCTCAGGTACATTAGCAGTACAGCATGTGTACTGTTATCTACATTCATATCCATATCTCAGGTACATAAGCAGTACATCATGTGTACTGGATATCTACATTCATATCCATCTCTCAGGTACATTAGCAGTACATCATGTGTACTGGATATCTACATTCGATCTCATGTTTACATTAGCAGTACATCATGTGTATTGGATTTCTTCATATCTATATTTTATGTAACTATTGGCAGTACATCATGTGTACTGTATACGGAGAAAGGTTAGAGTATATTTTTATCTGTATATCTGTATATCTGTAATCTCTATATCTTTATATCAATATCTTATTCATCATTCACTCATTCAGAGTACACAAACTATTAAAATGTACTGTACCCCTTGTACAAGGAAATAATAATAGTAAATAATTTTCAGGGAAGAACTCCCTTTAAAACCTCTTATGTACTGTACTTGTACACCCCTGTACAAAGAAATAACAACATATAATTATCAGGGAAGAATTCCCTTTAAAACCTCTTATGTACTGTACTTGTATATCATTGTACAAGGAAATAACAACATATAATTATCAGGGAAGAACTCCGTCTGAAAGCCTCTAATGTACTGTACTTGTATATCATTGTACAAGGAAATAACAAGATTTAATTATCAGGGAAGAACTCCGTCTGAAAGCCTCTAATGTACTGTACTTGTACACCATTGTACAAGGAAATAACAAGATTTAATTATCAGGGAAGAACTCCGTCTGAAAGCCTCTAATGTACTGTACCCCCCCGGGCTGTACAAGGGATTGGTCTGGCAGAAAGGTGGAAACAATAAACTACTGTACAGCGGTGTACAGGTCAACTTTTTTCTCAGAATTATTGATACGTAAACAATTCATTCTTTTATTGATTTGTGATTATATTAGGATCAATATTATACCTACACAATGTTTGATGTGTGTGGATTATGGATCGCTAAGCTGATCCAAGGAAAAGTGCAACTACCCGACCGAGACACCATGGAAAAGTAATTTTTTTATTAAAATATTAGAGTTGAGATAAGGGAGGGCATCCATGTTCCTAGTCCAACTTTTCAAGGCCTGCTCATACAAAAAGAGACCTCTAACTTTAATGATAAGGGTTCAAGGGCTAATTTTTAAAAAGTTCGACAAATTCGTTGGAAAAATGTTCAAAAATAATTATTTTTAATTTTGACAAATACTAACATGTGACAAATGCTATTACACCCATTTTCAAATATACAAATTTTAGCCCTTTAGCTTTATTAATAAGAAAGCCTGTCTAATTTTTGTTCACTGACCACAAACATTTGTTCCCCACTATTATGTTGAAAAAGTGAAGAAGTTTTAGCCGTTTTTAAGTTAAATAGAAAAACACACTGGGGGGGGGGGTGGTTTAGAAATTTAGGATAGTTTATATTTAAAATTTTGGAAATTTCCCAAATGACAGGAAACTTGAGGAATTCCCAAAATGTCTGAGTGTTTGGGAATATTCCCAAATGCTTGGGTTTCTTGGAAATATCCCAAATGCCCAGGTTTTTGAGGAATTTCCAATTTTGACATTTTTGATAATTTCTATCAATTCCTAAATATCCCGATTAAACTCAAATTATGATTTTAATTAGTCTAAAGAACATAAAACACAGAAAAAATTACCTATAAACGATCCAAAAACAATCAAAAAACGATCAAAAAACGACCAAAAACAATCCAAAAATGACTCAAAAACTATCCAAAAACGATCAAAAAACGATCAAAAACGATCCTAAAACGATCCAAAAACGAACCAAAAACGGTCCAAAACGAACTTAGTGATAAAAACATTTTTGGATCGTTTTGCCATTAAAAAAATAAAGATATTGCAAAGTTAAAAGCAAACTTAAAAAAAATACAGCCAATTTATATTTCTTGCTCCACTCTAAGTATGAACTATATAGAGACTGGAAAACCTGGCATGCGCGATGTGGAACTCTGAACTCTGATGCTGAGGATATCAGCTTTCAGACAGATTTCATTCAGGTTATAGAAACATAAATAATACAAGATCAATACCCCCCCCCCCTCCCCAAATCTGAAATAGTTTGCTATTTATAAAATCGTAATTTCAAGTGACCCTCCATGCAAAGATGACACATGCCCGCGTAACATTAACGGTAAACTTGAAACCTTCATCAGAGAATTTAAAGAATTTGAGCCACGGTTCAAACATGGTTGGTTCCACTTAAAATTGTATTTAATGTTTCGCAAGGTGTTTTTCGAGATTTGAGCCGGCGCTCAATTGGAACCGGCTTAGGCAGATCAACGACGCCTCAAATCAAACATGTAAAAGATACTGTCGTTTTTCTGAGTTTTTCATTCTTATTATTTATTCATATCTTCTTACAAGCAAGAAATGCGCAAGTTACTTTAGTAGAGAACCCGCAAATTAAAATAAACAGTTTAAAGAAACAAAACATTGATATCTAATTAATACTTGATCAGACAAAGCTTTCAAGAGTAGCGTTGTAAAAATGTAAATCTGGATCCGTATAAAAAGAGACTTTTTCTTTAAATTCAATTGGACTGCACTATTTAAAACTGTGCCCGGAGCTGAAAACTTTAGAATGGATTAATTTAACCCCGATCGGTTAATTAATCTGCAGGAGAATAATAACAAGAGTAGAACAAGCATTATTTAATCTCGAGATTAAGAAAAAGAGAGGATCAAGCATTGATCTCGATATCCACTATTCTAAAGTTTTCAGCTCAGTACACCTTTATCAGCGCAGCAAGAATGTGAAAGATATAATTTAATACTTTTCAAGCAAGAAAAACAATGATATCCTCCACATCACTTAGAGAAAGGGTTAAAGGGTGCAGTAGTTAATCGGAATTATTCAGGACTTGGTGAAGGATTTAGGAGATGACTACCCCTACAACGTGGACACCCAGGAGATCTTCAACACCTGGGAGCACCACAAGGTCGAGGACATCCTCTCCTACAGGGATAAAAGCTTTGCGTCAAAATATACTGGTATTATTAATATTATTATTATTATTATTATTATTATTATTATTATTATTTTTATTCTTATTATTATTATTATTATTATTATTATTATTATTATTATTATTATTATTATCAAAAATAATAATAATATTATTATTGTTATTATAGGAACTCCATCCCCAATCCATCACACCACGTTTATGAAAGCCCTGGATGACTCAATGGCAACTTTCCTAGACCAGAGGAAAAATTAGAATTAAATCAAGATGCCAGTTTTAATTGCAGAATAATAAATTATTCAATTGAATAAAAATCCACAATTATTGTAAGTTAGCAAACTGATTTAGCACAATGTCAGTTGCAATTTAAAAAAATTTGAATTTTATGACTTAAAAATTTTAAAATTTTATCGCCTTTTGTATTTGTTAAGTAAAACAATCATCATTATACTTGTTTAGCTGCCAGTTTAACTATCGCATATATATATATCAATCGAAAAAAAAAGTTTTATTAGATAGTTTATAACTAAAGATGCTTTTAGATTTAATTTCTTTTGATATTTGTAATTACAGTGGTAGGCGATTTTATAAATAAAATGAAAACGACTTTTTATCTAAGTTTATGATTATTAACAAGCTTTTTTCGAATAAAAAGTGTACAAGTAATCAAAGAGAAGTTTTCTTTTAATTGACAGCTTCTGTTCACTTCTATGTTTGTATGTATCCATGCTGCTAAACAGCTTCATATAAATCAAAAGTTATATCGAAAGTCGTCTACATTGTATTGATTATATATGTTTCTATTTTTTGAAATTTTAGTTTGAATACTGCCACATTATAACGATTATTTATATATCTGTTGTAGGATAAATGTAGAAAATAAAATATTCTGAAAATCATCTCTGTCCTTTTATTAAGATTAAATCTCTACATGTTAGGTTTTTTCCACATCATAATTTCCCCAACCCGAGTTCACCAGTCGCAGTTTACAATTTACAAAGCATCGATTTTCCCAATTACTAATTTTTACTCAATCCACAAAATTCGTTGATAAAAATTAACAAGCTCTACAAAATTGCAAACAGTATAACCAGAAAACTGTAGAATTGGAAGACGACATTAAATGTTGTTAACAAAGCAAACAGTTTTACTAGTGTGTTTTGTAAAATCAGGTTTTTAATGAAATGGGTCTGTTTACACTGCACAATTGCCGTGCCTTATTCAAAGTCATAACTTGAGTCTAAAAGTCAACTTCATATTCCATAATTTTTTTATTATTACTGTGAATATCTCAATATACTCAGGAGTTTACGGATGACCAACTTTTGAAAATAGATACGCAAGGTAGTTTTCCCATTTTAATGTGTAAGGTGAGAAATAAGCTAAATATCTCTAAAACTCTAGAATATAATCTCTGCCAAAGTTTAAAAAAGACTAACACAGCTACAAAATATTTTTTCTTCTTGAATTCATCATGTCGTACATCATTTTTTTCTTCATTACCCAGAAAGATGAAATCCGTTGATTTTTTTTAAATGTCAACAATTGACTTATTTTTAACCAAAAAAACTGCTAAAAAATGTACTTTTCTAAAAAACGAGCATTTATAAGACGGTTTTTTGGACCTAACTCATTCATTTTTATTTTTTTTTAGAAATTTTCAAAGGATCCTAGTTCTCTGATTGAAAACAAAAAAATTCATATTTAACATAAAAATTTCATAACATTTTTTTTACTTTCTTTCGCACTTTTTAAAACTTTGGTGGAGATTATCTCCTGGTATTTAAGAGGTGTCAACCGAAAAATTTTAGGAATTTGTATAATGGGAAATGTCACCGCGCTCATCGCACGTGTCATTTTTTTTAAATTAGAAATAGTTTGTGGACATCTTACTGAGCATAGAACATATAGAATTCTTAATATCTAGCTGAGCGTAGAGCATATCATTCTCAATATCTAGCTGAGCATGGAACATATCATTCTTAATATCTAGCTGAGCGTAGAACATATCATTCTCAATATCTAGCTGAGCATGGAACATATCATTCTTAATATCTAGCTGAGCATAGAACATATCATTCTCAATATCTAGCTGAGCGTAGAGCATATCATTCTCAATATATAGCTGAGCGTAGAACATATCATTCTTAACATCTAGCTGAGCATAGAACATATCATTCTCAATATCTAGCTGAGCATATAACATATCATTCTCAATATCTAGCTGAGCGTAGAGCATATCATTCTTAATATCTAGCTGAGCATAGAACATATCATTTTAAATATCTATCTGAGCATAGAGCATATCATTCTCAATATCTAGCTGAGCATAGAACATAGAATTCTTAATATCTAGCTGAGCATAGAGCATAGAATTCTTAATATCTAGATGAGCGTATAACATATCATTCTTAATATCTAGCTGAGCATAGAACATATCATTCTTGATATCTAGCAGAGCATAGAATTCTTGATATCTAGATGAGCATAGCACATATCATTCTCAATATCTAGCTGAGCACATAACATATCATTCTCAATATCTAGCTGAGCGTAGAGCATATCATTCTTAATATCTAGCTGAGCATAGAACATATCATTCTAAATATCTAGCTGAGCGTAAAGCATATCATTCTCAATATCTAGCTGAGCATAGAACATATCATTCTCAATATCTAGCTGAGCATAGAACATATCATTCTCAATATCTAGCTGAGCATAGAACATATCATTCTTAATATCTAGCTGAGCATAGAACATATCATTCTTAATATCTAGCTGAGCATAGAACATAGAATTCTTAATATCTAGATGAGCGTAGAACATATAATTCTCAATATCTAGCTGAGCATAGAACATATCATTCTTAATATCTAGCTGAGCATAGAACATATCATTCTTGATATCTAGCACAGCATAGCATTCTTGATATCTAGATAAGCATAGAACATAGAATTCTTAATATCTAGAAGAGCATAGAACATAGAATTCTTGATATCTAGCAGAGCATAGAACATAGAATTCTTAATATCTAGCAGAGCATTTAGCATAGAATTCTTAATATCTAGATGAGCATAGAACATAGAATTGTTAATATCTAGCTAAGCATAGAACATAGATTTCTTAATATCTAGCAGAGCATAGAACATTTCATTCTCAATATCTAGCTGAGCATAGAATATAGAATTCTTAACATAATATTTAACCAACGAAATCAGATAGAAAATAGTCAAATCCAAAAAATGGATCCTATAAGCCTAATTGATTGGAAATATAATGAAAAAAAAACACCTCAACCCACCTTAAACTTCCACATGTCATCTTTTTATACACTTTGCTAGTCTGTTAGGTCGTAACCGACCTCACATGACCCCAGGAAGGGTTTTTGAATACTTGAAATTACAAAATATTGTCACAAAAGTTTTTGATTTTCGTAAAATTTCAAAAATCCACAAAAAAAATTGTAAATCCGCAACATTTTATTATTGATTTTTTGAAGAGAACCTGTTGAAAGATTGAGCAACAATTAAAAGTTGAAAATTATTCTGTTTTGACGAACTAAAGCTAGGGTAAGAAAAACTAACAACTTCTAAAAGAAAGAGTGGATGGGTGATGAATTTGATGAGTTTGAATGTATTTCTAATTTAACTGTGGCATACATTTAAAAATCTGGATTCAAGTCATAGTTCAAGTCACAAGCACAAAAAAATACAGATGAATATACGAAAAATAAAATAGTGTTCTCGGATGATGAAGCTACATTCTATGACACATGTACACTTCATTTTGTTTTAGAAAAAACAATGGGAGTCATTTCGATAAAAGAGACCAATTGAGAGATATAAAAATATCAAAATCATATACACACCTTTAAATCTTTTAATCTTTATATCTGTCATTTTATGCTTGCTGTAATACACTGGTCGCAAGAATTGTTACTGCATGTTTTCTCTTAACATGGATCTTTAGATTGCTTGGGTAATTTGTCACATAATCACACTCGTCACAAAGATAGCTATATCCTAAATGTTTACTCTTAGTATGTGTCTTTAAACTGACAGATGTAGTTGCAGCATACTCACACTGATCACATTGATATCTTACACCCTCATGTTTACTTGCAATGTGAAGCTTTAGGCTCCCAGGAGTAGTTGCAGTATATTCACATCTTTCACAAGGATATCTCACTCGTTTATGTTTAATATCAACATGCTTTTTCAACCCTCCTTTTGAGGTGGAGGAAAATTTACACTGATCACATGGATATCTCACTCCTTCATGTTTGCTCTTTATGTGATTTCTCAGAGTCATTGCTTCCCTTGCAACATACTCACATTTCTCACATAAATATTTAAATCCCTCATGCTTGCACTTCATGTGTCTCTTTAAATAATATGTTCTAGTTGTAATAAAATCACATTTCTCACACAGATATTTTTCTTCTCCTTTTTGGTGAATATTTTGAACATGATTCTTGAGACTGTTTGGTGTTGATGCAGAATATCCACAATGGACACACAGATACCGTACTCCTGAATGTTTATTCTCTTCATGGCGCTTTAAACCCCCTGATGTGGTTGCAGCAAATTCACACTGCAAACAGGGATATCTCACTCCTTCGTGTATAAGTTCCATATGCTTTTTGAGGCGTCTTGAATCAGTGGCAGTAAATTCACACAGTTTACAAGAGTAAATCACTCCTGACGGTTTACTTTTAATATGTTTCTTTAGGCTAACTGGTTTAGGTGCAATATATGCACGCTGAGTACAAGGATATCCCACAGAGTCATGTCTATTTTTAGTATGCGCCTTTAAAGATTGTGGAAAGGTTGCTACATAATCACATTTATTGCAAGGATATTTTAATCCTTCGTGTTTACTCTCAATGTGTGTTTTTAGACCTCCTGTTGTAGTTGAAACATAATCACATTCAATACAAGGATATCTTATTCCTTCGTGTTTATTCTCGATATGTATCTTTAAATTCCCAGCAGTAGTTGAAACATAATCACATTTATTACAAGGATATCTTATTCCTTCGTGTTTACTCTCAATATGTTTCTTTAGACCTCCTGCTGTAGTTGAAACATAATCACAAGTATTGCAATAATATTTAACTTCTTCATGTTTTGTTGTAATATGATGCTTCAAATAATCAACTTTAGTTGTAACATAATCGCACTTAGAACAGGGATATCTTACTCCTTCGTGAACACTGTCAATATGCTTTTTGAGATGATCTTGTCGGGTACTTACAAAATCACATCTATTACAAGGATACCTTACTTTATCATGTCTACATTTGATATGTCTATTTAGATTTACTACATTAAATGCAACAAAGATACACTGATTACATGGGTATCTTATTCCTTCATGCTCACTCTTAATATGTGTCTTCAGGTAATATTTCCGAGTCGCCACATAATCACATTTAGTACAAGGATACTCAATTATTCTGTGATCACTCTTTTTTGGTTGCTTTGGGTTGAAGTGAAGCGGATCTTCTTTCTGATCCAGGTCTTCATCTAAAATTACATGTCAAGTGGTATACAGTGATAATCAGAAAACTGTAGGTTAGGAAGACGACATTAAGAGTATTTGATATTGTTACTAAGAAAATTGCTTTACTAAGAAGTTATTAAATCAATTATTATGTGAAATGAACCTGTTTACACAATTGTTCTGTCTCAAGTTCATTTGATTGTTTAAAGTCATAAATTGAGTCTTAAAGTCGACTTCCTATCCCAGAGTTTTCTGGGTCTCACTGTATTATATTATAGAGTTATCGATCTTGTTATAAAGACATATTGTTTACATATTCAATACAGAAATATTGTTTACATATTCAATACAGAAATATTCTAAACATATTCAATACAGAAATATTGTATACATATTCAATACAGAAATATTGTATACATATTCAATACAGAAATATTTTATACATATTCAATACAGAAATATTGAATACATATTCAATACAGAAATATTCTAAACATATTCAATACAGAAATATTCTACACATATTCAATACAGAAATATTGGATACATATTCAATAAAGAAATATTTTGTAACAGAAATATTGTATACATATTCAATTCAGAAATATTGTACATATTCAATACAGAAATATATTGTATACATATTCAATACAGAAATATTGTATACATATTCAATACAGAAATATTGTATACATATTTAATACAGAAATATTTTATACATATTCAATACAGAAATATGTTATACATATTTAAAAATTATTTCGAAGCTTTTAGGAAATTGAAAAATTGAAAAAAAATCATTGATTTTCAACAAAATTAGGCAATTTTTAAGCTAATAATGAGGTTCTAGCTAAACGACATATTTATTCCCACCCCCCAAACGGCTGGACCAGTTAGACTGAATTTTTTTGTGGACACTCATGGGAGGCAACCTGGAAGGGGGGTGTTACAGGTTTAAAAAATCTAAATCTCTTTTTTAAAATTTTTTTCTTCAATTTTTTTTTTCCACGGGAAACGCCGGGCCCTTCAGCTAGTTTTTAATATAAATATAGTAGTGCCTTTAAAATAGTCGAATATGCATACGTCATATAAGCAATCTCACTTGATGTTGTTACATAAAGCAAATAGTTTCGGCAATTGATTGAACGTTAAATTCTAAATTATGGTGGATGTCCAAGTCTACTACAGTCAAGGAGAATTAGGGCTGGGCACGTTCCAACTTTTCTGGCCGTTTCGTTTGTCAAAAATCTGTTCCGTTTTTGTTTTCAACCATTAATTTCCATTCAAAAATGGCTGATCCACTTTGTTAACTGTTTTAAAAAAATCAACAGTTTTTGCCGTTCGTTAACGAACTCTTCCGTTAATTTTCGAAAACCTCCGTTCCGTTAACGGAACTTTGCCCAGCCCTAACGAGAAAACGTTGACATACTAAATAAATGTGTCTTGATAATTGCAATAAATAATAATAATAATAAATAATTGCAATGTTTTGCAGTGGTTGATCAAGACGACTTTTTAGTTTAAAGGGCTTATTTTGGTAATTTCAGGGTATGCCCTCGAATTCTGGATGAAAATCGGCTTTTTCTCCGGCCACAGTTGTCTTTGAAAAGTAAGACTAATAATACCAATCAACAGCGATTAGGCTGTTTAGTTTACCCTGAAATTACCCAAATAAGTGAACGGTCCCTTTAAGTTTTGATTTCTAACAAGCTTTCAAGTAAACAAATAGAAACTGTTAATTTAACTGACAGTTTTTCTTTGTTTCTACTGTTAAGCCCTAAATAAGCCGAACATCAAAAGAATTCATCAAATGTCGTATTCTTTACTTTCTGATAATGGAATGTTGCAGATATTTAGTTTTTTAATTAAATGATTATATGGAGCTCTTTTAATCTGTTTCCGCATATTCATGGCTATTTATTTATTTTTGCAAATACTAAGATTTACGTAAAATAGTATAAAACCCATTGAAAAAATTGCCAAGACGACATTTGATAAATCCTTTCGATGTATGGCTTATTTAGGGTTTAACTGTATGTTTACTTATCTATGCTCTTTAAAATCTTGGTAGAAATCCAAATTGAAATAGGAAGTCGTCTTCATTGTATTGATAGATACGACGAGGACTGTCAACCAAGATGAAGATTTGAAGATTACCTTCAATTTTATTAATCTCCGTCTTTGTGTTTTCTTCTTGTACAAAAATGTTACATGTGTTTTCTAGAATAGGATATGTACATTTTTCTTTCTTAAAGGGAGTTTCTCCATTTTCTTCGAAATTCATTTCTTCTCCAATACACTTCCTTCTATCTGAAAAAATATAAAATATAATTTCAAAATTTGGAAAACTAACTAATAAAAAGTTTTCATTCCCTGGAATCCCTACTTCGGACCGAGTTGCCTCAAATTTAGATTAAGGGGAACTCAGTAAATACACAGAAATGTTCTTAGTCTGGTTTAAAAATTCTTAGTTGAGTGGGTTGATTTTTTAGGGAAAACTCCAGGCAGAGCTGGGTTCCCAAGCTAGTTTATGAATGACTAGATTGGGAATCCAGCTTTCCATGGAAACTAAACTTTTTTCCTAGAGTAGAAGTCAACCCAGTCTTGGAATTTCAAACTAAGCTCAGAAAATTCCCGTGGTTCTCCCGAGTTCCCCAATCAAAATCGGAAGCAAATCGGTCATTGGGTTAATCAATTTTGTTCGGACAGACAAACTTACAGACTGTTACGTCTTATACAAAGATATGTACATTATTAATGTACATATGTATCATGTACTAACTTACAAACAATCTTTGAGGTACTCATATTTAGATATAAATAATAGTTAAATGTGAAATTTGATATTTTTTTAATGATCAACATTTTAAATATACAATAAATTAATTCCTGAAAATGACTTGAAAGAAAACTCTGGAATAGGAAGACCACTTTAAGACTCAAAAATCTGTTTCTTAATTAGTTCAATGAACATAAGACACGGCAATTGTTCAAACACTTTGCTAATGGACCCTTATATAACCTTTAACAGTCAATGAGAATGGGTTCAAACCCTTTGCTAATGGTGGGTGTCAAAGTCTACTACAGTCAACAAGAACGGGTTCACACACTTTGTTAATGGTGGATGTCAAAGTCTACTACATTCAACAAGAATGGGTTCACACCCTTTGCTAATGGTAGATGTCAAAGTCTACTACAGTCAACAAGAACGGGTTCACGCACTTTGTTAATGGTGGATGTCAAAATCTACTACAGTCAACAAGAAAGGGTTCAAACCCTTTGCTAATGGTGGATGTCAAAGTCTACTACAGTCAACAAGAACGGGTTCACACACTTTTTTAATGCTGGATGTCAAAGTCTACTACAGTCAACAAGAATGGGTTCACACACTTTGCTAATGGTGGATGTCAAAGTCTACTACAGTCAAAGATTATGGGTTTACACCCTTTGCTAATGGTGGATGTCAAAGTCTACTACAGTCAACAAGAACGGGTTCACGCACTTTGTTAATGGTGGATGTCAAAGTCTACTACAGTCAACAAGAAAGGGTTCAAACCCTTTGCTAGTGGTGGATGTCAAAGTCTACTACAGTCAACAAGAACGGGTTCACACACTTTGTTAATGCTGGATGTCAAAGTCTACTACAGTCAACAAGAATGGGTTCACACACTTTGCTAATGGTGGATGTCAAAGTCTACTACATACAACAAGAACGGGTTCACACACTTTGCTAATGCTGGATGTCAAAGTCTACTACAGTCAACAAGAATGAGTTCACACACTTTGCTAATGGTGGATGTCAAAGTCTACTACAGTCAACGAGAATACATTGTTTGCATTTGCTGAATCAATATGTATTTATAAGTTCATTGAATGCATTCCTGAAAATATTTTGATTAGTTGAGTGCTGACTAAGTATCTAATTGTAAATGCACAATGAATATATATTCGGTTGAGAGTTCAACATGAATAGTTAGTTTAAACAAATACCGATCAGAACAAAATAGTTAAACATTATATTTTCAATGGGCTCATATTACATTTTATTTGTATTTTGTTTTAGCTGAACCTAACTTATCAAGTTAGCCGGTCAGTGGCATAAATAAGGGTTCTGAAGGGGGGGTAAAAAGTTAAAATTTTGTTTACCCCTCCCTAGAATTTTTTCATTTTTTCATTTTATACCTTTCAGCCTTCACCTTGTTTAATATCCTTTAATATTATAGTCATTCATTTTACATTAGATACAAAGATCTGTAAAAAAACTGAATTTATTTTAGTAAGGTAAAACATAATAGTTTTACTCTAAGAGGAAAAGGATGTTACTTTTTAAGATCTTTAGAAAAGCTACTCTGCAAAACTTTGAAAAAATATTGTCTTTGTTTATATTCTTATTTCTTTTTTCTAAAATTTTCTTGTCGCCAATCTGCACATTTAAATTATTTTCTCGATTTAAAAGATATTCAATTTTAAAATCAACTTTTAAAAAAACAAAAACAAACTAAAGTAACAACTCGCTATTCAGAGCCTGAATAGTTCAGGGGTAATTACCTCCAAGATTCTAAATAACCCCAATAACCCCCCTTATTTACGCCACTGTAGCCAGCTCATCTTCGGTTCGAATAGAACCGACTAGCATAACTTGAAATTACGCTTACAGTCCCTTTAAGAATGCGTTGAATTAGTAAAGAGCTTACTTGTTTGAAATAATATTGCGTTATAGAGGTATTTTCTTCTCTCTTAAAAATTTGATATTTCTACTGACATAACATTGTACAGTCCAATAAATGTATTCCTGGTACTGTTTCGATATAAAAGGCTGATTAAATTACTTCGCATTAGATTGTGCATTAAATTCGAGAAGGAGTATCAGGGGCGGATACAAGGGGGGCAGGGGACATTCGCCCCCCCCCCTGAATTTGGAATTTTTTGATCCTATTTTCAGAATAGCTTCTCATAGCATGCTTAAGGAAAAGAAACCCTAGTGGACAACAGGAAAACATCTGTCTTAATAAACTATATTGTGTGAAAAGTTAAAAATCTAGTTTTTTAGTCTTTAGTCATTAATTTTGACTTTTTTGAGTCTTTAAAGTCAAAACAAATTTTAAATCCTGTATCCGCCCCTGAGGAGTGAGGAGTATTTAAAAATATAATAAATATTGGGGTATCGAACAATAACTACTATTTTTTAATCTGAACTGTGGGAGTTATTACCACGCCGTTATATGATTTATAGCTTGAGAACCTACCTTTGTCTGGAAAAAAAGTCAACCCGCATATCTAAAATTGTAATTTAAACTAAGCCATCATTCCCGTGATTTTACCGAGTTCCCAAATCAAAATTTAAGTAAATCGGTGAAGGGGTTCCTGAGTTATGATCTGGCATATAAACAAAGAAACTTTATATAAAACAAACTAACAACTTTTTATATGATAATATTCATAATATATCCAATAATATTATCAAAGAATGGAGAATGTTTCTTTGGATTTTACATTTTAAGGTAAAAAGCAGGAGCAAATGGTGAATTAAATCATTTTTAAAAATGATGAAATTCTATAGGAACAGAACTAAACCTATGAATGAGCCTACCCCCCCTCCCCCCTCACTAGAAAATACCTCCGTAGCGCCTCTGTAATTTTACGAACACTCCGTAATCTCCAAGCTATGCAATACCACTGAATTGCATTGCAGCACAATAATGTGTAGAGAACTAGAGAGGAAGCGCTTTCTCTCTCTCTCTCTCTCTGAAAGAAAGCATTCAAGTTCTGCTCGTATATAGACCTAGTTTTATAGCTTGGATTCCTTACAGATTCTACAATTATCTATTGCGGCTGGAAATTGATTTGTTGCGAGAATTACTTTTTTTGTTTATAAGAACAAAAACATCATCACAAATTATGAAAAAATGTATTTCATCTAACTATAAAAAAACTTAATTAGTTAAAAAATAATAAACAAAACTTTCTCAAAAAAAATTAAGATAGTTTTTTTTTTAATTTCTGAACTAACATTTTATTAAAAATGTTCCCCAAATATAGGTGACCAGAAAATTCCGAAATAGGAAGACGACTTTTAAGAGATGCTTAAGTTTATTTGATGTTGTTTCAAAGCAAATAGTTTTATTGGACAATTATCAAATTACCCATTTAGTGAAATGCAGGGTCTGTTTACACTGCACAATTTATGTGTCCCATGCTCATAATTAACTATTGAAAGTCATAACTGGAGCGCAAATATTTGCTTACGTTTCAAGTAAAGATTGAACGAAATTTCGATGTTTTTGCGCATAAGCTATTTCTCGCAAATTCTGAATAAAATCTTGGTCTTTGCGTATTTCTTTTTATCCTGCTATTTCGAATTATATTTCGAGCTATTTCATTATTTCTTTAAATTTCTAGAAACAATTCCAGGAAATGATCAATAAATTCAAAATTAAATTAATCAGTGTTACAGACTGCTAGCCTGCCCAAAGTGAATAAATACTAAAGTGGACCAAACTCATAGTTGGATGACGACATTTTATGTCCCAAGTATTTAGAAATATCTATATATATATATATAAATTGGTCTGTATACGGAGTGTACAGTAACTGGACTCCCTTTGTTTACAAACACAGACTTAGAATTTGTATTTAACTTAAATATAAGTTAACGTAAATTAAGATTTCAGAAGTGAATTTTAGCCATTTTACTGCACAATAAATGATTTCAGACAACGCACAATAATGCCTGCAAGCATAATCTGTAAGACAAGGAATGCACAATTTGTGATACCGAAAAATGAAGATCNGAGTTTGAAAATAAAAGTTGAAATTTTATATTCTCATTTTGGATTTTGAAATCTCACTACCGCCAATAAAACAGTTTGAAAATAAAAGTTGAAATTTTTTATTTTGGATTTTGAAATTTTAAATTAATATTTCATTATGTCATGCAACACATCATAGCTTAATTTCGTTTTCGTGCACATTACTGCAGTACAAGAATTTGATTCTTCATATTCATGGGCATTACAAAATTACATGCAAAAATGACCTGTATATTCTAACGGAAATTTCGTATTCTTACAAAATTTCGTGCAAATAAAATATATATTTTGAATGAATGCGCAAAACTGTATAGATACGAAAATGATGCGGAATTGCTTGCAATAAATGTCATTTCGTGCATTCCATGCAACTGGTGCGCAAGAGAATTGACTGTTTCGTGGAAACCCTAGTGGAGAGTAAACATGCGGGCGTAAGATATCCTTGTATGAACTGTGATTATGTGACATATGGTATACCTTGAATTGGAAGAAACTGTTAGCTTCTGTAAGTGCAATTTTACGTTAACCCCCATGCAATGCATAGCAATGCCTGCGATTTAAACGGTAACCTTGAAACTTTAATCTGATCAAAAAATGGAAGCACTTTTTGCAAAAATTTTATTTCAGGGAGGTGATCTGAGCCACCTATATGATATTTTGTTGGCCTCTTGTATCTCGGTTGATGTTCTCGCAGAGGCCATCAATACCATCTCAGTGCTTATCCGGGGGAACAATGAGAACCAGGTAAAAAACTAAGAAATTGGTGAATAGCAAAAGATATCTTACTCCTTCATGTTTACTTTTATTTGTTTTCAAAAATCTGGTTCAAAATTAAGATCAATATAATGAAACGCTTTTTGACCCAAAATTAATATATATTGTTTATTTAAAGATATCAATTATGAATTATTTAGTTATTAGAATGATATTTTGTATTGCTAATTGTCAAATATAATGATTATATACATGTCTACTAAATTGATGAAACATGAATGCATTTTTAGTGTCTATATCTACAATTCTACATTTCAGCTGGAATACAGTTAACAATTTGAGGCCAGTTACAAACATTTTCATCTGGGTCAAAATACAACGGACTTGGGCACTCCATTAAAATTGGGATATCTCCATTACACATATAATATTTGGTACAATCCGTTTCATGGGGTATAAATACAGGAAATCCATCTGTACTTGGATGGCAAGCGACAACTTTCCTCCCATCTTTGATGTGGTTCTCTGAAGTTACGTAAAAGGATGTAGTAGATGTAGTATTGTAGGAGTGTGTAGTATTGTAGGTGGGTGTAGATGTAGTATTGTAGGATGGTAAAGTAGATGTAGCATTGTAGGATAGTGTAGTAGTTGTATTATTGTAGTAAGGTGTAGAAGATGTAGTATTGTAGGAGAATGTAGTAGATGTAGTATTGTAGGAAGGTGAAGTAGATGTAGAATTGTAGGATGGTGTAGTAGATGTAGCATTGTAGGATAGTGTAGTAGTGGTATTATTGTAGTAAGGTGTAGAAGATGTAGCATTGTAGGATAGTGTAGTAGTTGTATTATTGTAGTAAGGGGTAGTAGATGTAGTATTGTAGGAGAATGTAGTAGATGTAGTATTGTAGGAGGGTGTAGTAGATGTAGTATTGTAGGAAGGTGAAGTAGATGTAGTATTGTAGGAGGGTGAAGTAGATGTAGTATTGTAGGAGGGTGAAGTAGATGTAGTATTGTAGGAGGGTGTAGTAGATGTAGTATTGTAGGAGGGTGTAGTAGATGTAGTATTGTAGGAGGGTGTAGTAGTTGTAGTATTGTAGGAGGGTGTAGTAGATGTAATATTGTAGGATGGTGTAGTAGATGTAGTATTGTAGGAAGGTGAAGAAGATGTAGTATTGTAGGATGGTGTAGTAGATGTAGTATTGTAGGAAGGTGAAGAAGATGTAGTATTGTAGGATGGTGTAGTAGATGTAGTATTGTAGGAAGGTGAAGAAGGTGTAGTATTGTAGGATGGTGTAGTAGATGTAGTGTTGTAGGAGGCTGTGGTGCTTGCTGCTCCTGTTCCTGTCGTAGTTTGTTGACAATCCACTTGACTTGGCCAGTTGCAGACATTTAAATTAGCATCAAAGTACAAAGGAGGAGCGCAGTCCATTAATATTGGCCAATTCCCATCACATTCATAGTATTTGGTGCAATCTGTGGGATGTGGAACAAATACTGGAAACCCATCTACGCTTTCAGGACATACAACGTTAAACTGCCGATCAGAGCCTTCAAAACCTCCTACGAATAAAAAGCTAGCCAATGCAAATTCTAGTTTCATGTTGTCGAGAAGTGTTGAGGTTGAGAATGGACTGATAGAACTTTGCTTAAATATACAATTTTATACTTTTCTTATCAGCTAATGATTGTGAAGGCTTAGCATGAATGAAAGAAGAAGAAGATTATTCTAATTCTTGACAAACAACGTTTTTTAATCTTATCCTGGAGCATACTCAGAGACTTCTAGGAATTCAAGGAAATATACAACGTCAATTGAATACTCTAACTAAACAAACCTAGAAGTGTTGGTACATGTTTAAAAGTAAACGTTAAACTTCTATATGGAATATTTGATGCTTCTTTTTGTTGTATAATGTTTAACTAAATGTTCATCATTCAAAAATCCAAACATTTTCAAATAAATCAAATATAATATATTTGTCACATCTAAAAAAAAATTGTAAAACAGATTTAAAAGAAGTGCCCAACAGACGGTAGGAAGCCAGAGGTGCCCTCGATCCTGTTTGGCAAATACCATAGAGAATAGAATATATATTAGAGGGGAATTTACTGGAAAAAAGTGTAAAACGGCCATTTTGTTGCACTGTTTCCATACTGCAGGTGTACTTCACATATTTGTGCTATATAACCTTTTGGGCCCTGGAATATCATTTTATAGAAAANAGAAAAATATGAACCTTATTTTATTATTGAGCTATTGAGCTAATAATCTAAAATTTAAAGAGAAAAATATGAACCTTATTTTATTATTGATCTATTGAGCTAACAATCTAAAATATGACCTTATTTTATTATTGAGCCATTGAGCTAACAATCTAAAAGTTAAAGAGAAAAATATGAAGCTTATTTTATTATTGAGCTATTGAGCTAATAATCTAAAATTTAAAGCCATTGAAAATGGTTGTATCATATGCACGCAATTGCTAATATTTTTTTTTCATTTTTCTGCCATACTTTTTGCAATTTTTAAAACCTCCCTAGAAGAAATCTCCCACATTTGCATTTTTAAAACTCATGAATTAATCTAACTTAATTGTATTTAAGATTACGAGCAGTGATGTAAAAAGAAAGGGCATACAATAAAATGCAGTGTGTTTCAATAAACATGGGACTTCAGCGATGACTTCTATATAATATCTTTGTGTTACACTGAGTTTTTACGTTAACAAATTACTATTAACAATTAATATGAAAAACTTAATTCATAGAATAGAAAGACGACTTTTAGACTCTATTTATAAATGGAAATATTCCAATATGCCTAGGAAACAGTAATTGTGCAACATAAACAAACCCATTTCACTTAATTCGTGATTTAATAAGTGGCTAGTATAACTATTTGCTTTGTAACAACATCAAAAATACTTAAGTATTGCTACAAAGTCGTCTTCCTATTTCAGATTTTCTGGTTATTAATATGTTTTTGCACCTCTAGATATTAAGCTATAAGTTCTTTTATGAGAGTTTTCAATTTATTTAGTATCATTCAAATTTTCCAGATATTCAATACCTACGACTGTATTAAGAGTAGCTTGGAAACCCAGCTTTTTCTGGAACCTAAATTTTCAGTATAAAAGTCAACCCACTCAAATCAAATCAAACTTTTTACTCTAGCTAGGTACATCTATGTGGTTCTACCGAGCTCACAAATCAAAATTTTAATTGAGTTATGACTGCACATACAGTGAAACCCTTAATAACGAATACATCGAAAGAATTCATCAAATGTCGTATTCTTCACTTTCTGATAATGGAATGTTGCAGATATTTAGTTTTTAAATTAAATGATTATATGGAACTCTTTAAAACAGTTCCCGCTCTATTTATTTATTTTCGCAAATACTGAAATTTACGTAATATAGTATAAAACTCATTGAAAAATTGTCAAGACGACATTTGATAAATTCTTCCGATGTATTCGTTATTAAGGGTTTCACTGTAGT